ACAAAGTAACCCATCATTGAAATACAGTCATGTCTTCCGGCCATCTTAGGCCAGCAACACTCTATTTCAATCTTTAGGCTTGGAAGTGACAAATAAATTCCGCAAGTGAAACTGCAGGGGAATTTAGGTCTCCTGAACAAATGAGTGTTAGCTAAGTGTTTGTGAGATAATTAGCCCTTTAGTCCCTGGGCATGTATGCCCATGACCTAAGTTAGGATCCATGGACCAAATACTATCCTGCTGAAAACTCAGACTGAAATCACTAGACCTTAATTTCTGCTCAAAGACTTGATCTTTGATCTCAAAGACTCCCACTGACTTTAATGGGCATTGGATCAGGCTCCAAGTGAATTGCTGCGTTCCCAATGTCTAGAAATGTACAGCCTCAGTGAAAAATGTGGCAATGTTGCAACTAATATTGTAATTTATACTTGTTTTTAAACAAACAAGAGATAGAGCTGTGTAAAAAAATATGTGCTGGATTGTAAAACATTTGGATTTCTGCTTAGACCTCTCTGTACCTTTGAAATCTCTTTCCTTGACTAACTACGCTTTTTGCTAAGCATATACAAGGAGGTACTTTATTCTTCATACATTCTATATACAATTGGTTGTATTTGTCTTGTAATCCAGGTTAAACTTTCAATGGCTACTGGCAATTCAGCAGGAAAGAGAAACAAACTCACAAAGAAACCATCTATAATACTTGGGTTTGGGGGAAAAATTCCTAATTGCAGTTTAGAGGATAGTTTCTAGTCTGACTACCTATTAGGACCTGGAAAGCAACAAGCGAGGAGACTTTGGAAAGAAAGATCAATGTAGCTCTGACAGCCAAGTTTAAGAATACTTGTTCAGCACTAAAGAGAAAAAGGCTGGATTAAAGTGGGAAAGAAAGAAGGGATCAATAGTTCCCATCTCAGAGAAAAATGAGGATTACTGGACAAGTCCCTGATCTTAGCCTTCTGGTTGCTGTAACAATTTCTTACTCAGAAATCGATTGCCTCGCTGATCACATTTTTAATGCAGTTTTGTAAGGTTTTGGGTTTACATTTAAAAAGGACAAACAGAAAGGGATAGAAGTCAGGAAAGGCTTATTGTAAGGTCACTCCTTTTCTCAGACAACATAGGCCACCAGTGTTGAACCAGAGTTTGTGGATGCCTCCCAGTTCCCGGCAACACCCTGAGGAGAGAAGAGCATGGCGAATAATTTAGCCTGTGGGCTGCTTTTCAGATTAGTTTTGCCATTTTCCTTGATAGCAGGTAAGAAAATTTCCATTCATGTTTAAAGAGTAATGTATCAAGATGGTATGAAAAGTGGGCAAAATTTATCTTTGATGTAATTCCATGGAGGACAGTAAATCTAGACCAGGGATGAAAGTGGCCAAATTCATTTAAAATTCAACCAAAAACAGTATGAGAACTAAAAGAAAGAAGTTTTAACAAGTTGGTTTTAGAAAACTCATTTGGCTATAATTTGAACGAGAGATACTATATAAAATACAATTGTATTGCATTGGATAGAACATCACATACTTCAGGTGGGGAAGAATACTAGGCAACCACCTATTTATAGTGTGGGATTATTAATTTACAGAAGATGGAAAACACATTACATTTTCCTGCATCTTGTATTCAAGTGCTATGGTGGTAAGTAATACATGTATGTATGTTTCGGGACATCTTGGAAGATGTTCTCTCTATTCTCCAAAATATCTTCCTGATGGATAATACTTTTAGAGAAAATTGTTTTGCAATGAAGGATCACTACCAAAATATCATGGCCCCTGCTTTGAGGGGCTCTCGGATTAAATCCTGTTTTGCTCAGTTGATAGGTCTGCTTTTTTAGTGAAGGTCTGCTTAGTGTATTCTTCTAATGAAGGCCCTGATTATAAAATGTGAATTGATAAAATTGCAGTATATTATTATAATTTAATTTATCCATTTATAATTTAATTTATCCTCCTGAGATCTTATTGTTTTTGTACAGCTACTATATCTCTTAAGTTTTAATCATATAACACTATCCTGGCAAAAACGCATGGACAAAATATTTTCTTTCATTGTTCTACTCTACTAGTCAATTTCATACACAGGTTCCAATTCAGATAGCTTTGTCTTTACGGCATGAGGCAAACCTGCTCTCCTAAATTCATATTTTCTTATCGTGGCTTGATTTCTTATTGTTGTACATTTTTGTTTTGAAAAACACTTTGTATTTAATGTACTCAGTAATATTTTACACTTAGAGAGAGACTACATTTAGGAAATTTAGCGTATAATAGTACAAGTTTATATTAGGGTTAACTGATCATAAAAATATATCAGCTAAAGATTAATTGCAGCTTTGTCCTACATCCTCTATAAGTAAGCAATCCTTGAAAATAGAAGCCTGCAACTACATTACTGTTTTCATAATATTTACTACATATAAAATTCGTCTGGATTATACATTTCTTTGTAGGGTTTATAATCTAGGTTTCTTTTCCAAATACAATGCTTGAAAGGTGAATTTCCATAGCAAAAATATTTTGCATTGCAAAGCTGGCCAATTTGTTGTTGTTTTTTAATCTGGTAATATTAGTTTTATAGCTGATTAAATGAATTGCACATTTTCAATGGTTTGCATGTGTTATTGACAATTTCCTTGAAATAGAGGTTTGAGATTTTAAAGTTTAGTGGTCCATTCCCGAACTCTTTCATAACACAAGGGTCCCTTTGATTTCAGTGCAAGCTGTTATAAGAAGTGCAGGATTATATGCTGTGTTTCTAGACAGAGGGGTACATGGGAATAGTTATAGCTCCACTCCTCAAAAAAAACCCTTCATTAAAGTCAAGCATGCTTCAAGCCCATTTCTCATCAATACAATCACAATACAATACAAAAATCTTAAAAATCCCTAGCAAAGGAAACATTTGCATCCAAACCAACCCTAACTCTAGATTCACAACCACATACTCATCCATATTCCCCTCCTACTTGCCACCACAACATATTCCCTGCCAATACAAACCTATACCTACCCACAGTTCATACATCTGATTACTTATGATTAAATCTTTATCCTAAGAGTGACTGCTGTAAGTGTGGTAAGGATAATCATTTTTCATACATTATAAAGACATTTAATCTGCACTATGACAACAGGCCACAACAGAGCCTTAATTACGCAATGGTACTGATTCATGTGATAATTCAAGTGATCATCACTTTGATCCTAGAGCATGTTTTATCCCTTTCCAGGACCCTTCATATCTACCACCAATACTCATATGGCTTCCATTAGCAAGCTATCTGAGCAACAAAGTGTCTTTAATGTATTTATCCTCACGATACCCCTGTTAGGTAGGGCAGTGTTATTATGCCCATTTTACAGATGAGGAATTAAAGCAGAGACTAAGTGAGTTGCTCAAGGTCACACAGGAAGTCTGTGGCAGAGTAGGGAACTGCTGAGTCCCAGGCTAGTGTCCTAGCCACTGAAACATCCTCTATCTTTCCCCCTGTGTTTGTCTCTTTACACTGTAAGCACTTTAGGAATGGGAGTGTATCTTGCTATATGTCTGCAGAGCACCTAGGATATTGAGGGTCCACGAGAATAGTAATAAAGAAGAAAAATGAGTCTGAGAATGATTCACTGAAGAGATAACAAGGGGTAAAAAATAAAATCAAAGCAGCAAGAAGCAGAGCAAAATAGCAGAATACATAGTCATGGCTCTTGTACCGAAGAGTGGAGTAGTCTTATGGTTAGAAGTTAGAGGGAATGAGCGATAGCTTTGAAATAAAATATCAAAATTCCGCTACTGATCCAGTGTTAATGACACATACATACACCGTCTTCATTTTTATTCCTGTTTATGTCTCAGTTAAAGTCACGTTTGATTATTTCACAGCGATATCATTCAGATACAATGGATTGTCTCTGGCCTATCTCATCTTTCTACTGCTTATTCCACTGTTCCCCAAGCCTACAGCTGTCACAATGAAAGGTAGGGGACCGCCTTCAAATTCTAGACTATGAATATTGTGTTCAGACAAATGAAATTAACTGAATAAGTAGATTCCACTTTGTAGAATTCTATTGTGGTACATTGTGCTAAGTTCTTATTTACTTCCTTTATTTGATGTAGAAAGAGTGTAGCTGCAGTTGTACATCTTTCTATTTGTTAGCCCTGGGGGCTGGCCCCAATCACTGGCCTTGGGCTGGCAGATGTTTGGCCTTTCTGTGGGTGGAACTGTTTTTGTCAGTGCAGTTGGGAAGGGCAGGGAGCTGTTGCCCCATGCATTGTATCCATCTGATTTAGTCTGTTAGCTCTTACGGCAGGGACCTTGGCTTGTCACATGTTTTGTAGGATACTTGGTGCGCTATTGTAACAAAGCCAGCATTTTATTTTTCAGGAGGCACACGGCAGCTCCTTAGAGCGATAAATTACACCAGCTTCACTTTCCTTGTGATCCAAGTGGCGTTTCAAATTGCATTCTACTACCTGCCACCTAATGGTAAATTTGATTTCCACTGCAATAATTTATCCTATGGTAAAGAGCCCAAGGAATTCATCTACGGGAGCAGAATGCCACCATTAGAGATGGACCTGGATCCAATTACCCAGGAGCTATAAAGGATTTTGATTGATCTCAACTTCTCCTCTGATTGCATTTCTACTCTGGGCTGAAACAAACCCTGGGTTCAAAGGTTGCTGTTCAGATACCGCTCGCATTGCTCCTGAAGCTGCCCCTAATGCATTTAAACATGTGCTTCAATCCCACAATTGCTAGTCCCCTTCGGAAATCTTGGCCCACATGCTTTACATGTGCAGACGAAGCATTTTGCAGGCGTGTTCTTTGGAAGTCTTTTGAAACTCTTTAAATGTAAAATAGATCAGATTCCTGTCACCCCAGTTTTGTTGCCGTATAAAGTGATCCATGTCAATGAATCTTGGTTTGGGGTGTTACACTGCACTCACTGAAGACAATAGCAAAAGCCCTCCCTATTTTAGTGTTCTGCATGGTATGCAGTATTTCCGCCGTCTATAGATTTACTTTCCAGAAGGATGCAGGCAGGAAAGTGAGACACAAGCCTATTGAGGAGAATGAATGTTTAGGTTTGAAAACATTAGGGAATCAGTTTATTAACAGGCCTCTTTGTTCTTTTCTAGTAGGCTATGGATGGGAGGACGTGCTTGGTCATTTTGGAATTCTAAGGTAGGATATCAGTTGCTGTCTCTTCTTTTAAGATATAGACACTGAAAATTGAATGCTTAATAATAATATCACAGATTTGTTTAGGTCTGTAAGAAAACGCCAAATTATACATGAGAACACCTGGTATTGCAGGGAATTACAATGCTTCTGCAAGCTATGTGAGCACATCTTGAAGGGGAGAATTAATTCTTTAGGGTAGGGACCGTGTCTTTATCACGTTTGTACAGTACCTAGCACACAGAGGACCTGAGTCTGACTGAGGCCTTTAAGTCCTATTGTATTATAATTAAAAATAAGAGCAATATCCATTTTAGTGGTTGATTTAGCAAGTATGGTCAATTAAATATACACTTAGATGTTTCAGATGGGGTTGTCTGTTAATATGGGAGATCTCTCTTTTTTTGCTGATCTGAAAGAGCTGTAAAAACCTTTCTATCCTATTGGTGTGGGGAAAAAATCCATTAAATTTTTTTTAGAGGTCTCCACTTTGCCAGGCTTGACAGTTTGCTCTGAAAAAAAATACACTACAAATCCTACAACCATTTGAACCAGAGATGCAGACTAAATGAACATGAAACACACATCAGCGGAGCTGGTAATTTTGACAGTGTTCTAAAGCTGATTGTTCAGTGACCTGTTGACTTTGTATGTAAAAATTTTTTTATTGATTTTTGTTATAAGAGTATCAACAATTCTTTTCTTTACATTACAAACGTTATAAGCTGTGTTTATAATAAAACCCTTACTTTGCTCACATTCTGTTAATTATGAAGAGATTTGAAGATTATATTTTTTCATTTCAGCAGATGTTCAATGCCAATCGTGGAAAAAAAGACATCTTAAAAAATTCTGCTCAGTATCTGAGTGTAATATTACCTGCTATTTAATCATGTGGTATTGTTCTCTGCTGTGGAATACAGAAACTACAATAAAGCACATTGCAATAGGATAACCAAGCGCACTTCATTCTTGGGTCATTTTTTTAATGCACAGATGCATTTCTGGGATTCGTTTTCAGGTTAATTATTACAGGAACATTTGGAAAAATTAGACTGTCATTTCTGAGCACTAGCCTTATGTTTCACTCGTGTGCTTTCCACTCTGCAGGCTCAGCAAAGTTGATGCTGGAAATATCATCCGCCTCCTGGTTCCTGACATTGGAATGTTTTTCATTGGCTTCATGGTTATAAGGCTTTGTAAAAAACAGGTGAAACGTCATATTCCCAAAATGCAGCTTCATGCTGAAGACCGGGAGCAGGTTGAGGATGAGGACGATGATGATGAGGAGGAGATGGTATGTTCAGCATCCTCTTACATGAATTAAGACTTCAGCAGGCTAAACCATTGGACATTTTCAGATGAGACAAAATGAATTGGGCTGTGTGTGGGGGAGCCACATGGGCACTGGATTACATTCACTTACAGAAACAAAACCCGATGACTGCTCCATAGTGGGACCGCTGTGCAGGAAACTAAAGAAACAATTCCACTCCCTAAGCCAGTGGAGTGAGTCCTACCTTCTGTACACAGACATGAGATTTGCTTTCTCCCTATTCAGGACTGTCTGTCTAGTCTGATGAGATCACAGGAGCAAGTGTTCACACCTCAGACTGTATGGTTTCAGTGAAGTATTTAGGGATTTAAATGTGCCATGATCATTATTTTTTCAATAGGATTTTGTGCCTAATTCTGCACTGCAGCATATCCATGCTGTAAAACATAGTCGTCTTAATGACTGAGATGGCGCAGTCAAGGAGTTTCGGATCCGTCTAGCAACAGCTTGGTTTTCAGGCTCAGATCTTGCTTAGTCATTCTTGTTTCCACAGGACTATGAAACAGAAGCAGGGGACAGTGACAAGGAAGAGTCCGACTGTTTATCTGAAGAAGATTTGGGAAAAGAAGAAGGTGACCGAAAACCAGGTTTCATTCAGAAAGTCACTGCGTTCCTAGCAGGCTTGAAAATCATATTTGAAGCCATCCTGACAAGTGCTGGAAAGGTGGTAGCAACTCTTCTATTAGGCTTAGCAGGTAAGAATGTTAAAGCAGGAGGTTAAAAGGAGGTAAGAGTCTCCATCCCGTAAACAAAGCATGAAAAACAAGACAAGCAGCTAGAAGCAATCCTCTTCATCACCCAACTGTTCTTGCTGGTTATTTCCTGTTGCCCAATTATTTTTTGTTTGATCTATGCCTTGTTGTGTTGTTGTCAGCCTTTATTGCCATAGGTTATTGTTGCAAAATTGTAATCACTTATGGGGCAGAATTTCCTTTTCAGAGCTGCAGGGAGACCTTTACACAGCTGTTCATTGGAGGTTGGAGAGGGGAATTTGTCTGCAATGGGCAAGTCCCTTGGCCCACTGAAAACCGTGAGGGTCTCACTTTCTTTTCTAGTTAGTTAAGATGGTTGAAGGCATCACCTAAGACTGTGTTCTGGTTGCTTAATTTTTATTCATATGGAAATTAATCAATGGCACTTTCGCAGTGGCTTCTCTTACTAGTTGGGGTCACTGTCCATCAGTTGAGGACCCACTTTGGCCTGATCTGTGTATCCTGTTTGCTGTGGAACAGAAGCCCTTTCATGGCCTATTTCCCCTCCCCAGGTATAATTTTGCCTTCTGTGACTTCTGCAATCTACTTTTTCACCTTCCTGGGCCTGTGCTCCTGGTGGGCTTGTCATCGTCCCATTACCGTGGTCACCTTCAGCAGTTTGTGTGTGATGATGGCTGTCTTCAGTGCAGGTCACCTTGCTGCCCTTTACCTGTACCAGTTGCCATACTTTCAGGACCTGGTTCCTCCTGATGACATTTATGCCAGGTAAAGACGTCAACTTCCATACAGAAAAGGATAGGGTTAATACTTTAAAATAAACTGATTTAAAGGCAGAATTGAAATATATACATATGATCCTAAGTTGACCCACTGAAACAGTATAAAAACAAGTAACATATCAACATATCCCAAGAAGAGAGATTTGTAGGGAACACATTTGCTTTTAAGCTTTTAGGACTTCCGTTACTTTGCTGTTGCCTAGTACCTTTTATCGGAGGAGTTCGTGGCAATTTATAAACATTAACTAAGCCACAAGTCTTCTGTGCTTTATCATCATCTCCATTTTATAAATGGAGGAGTTGAGGCTAAATAACTTTCTCAAAGTCACACAGGAAAACTGTGGCAGGAGAATAGAATCGAATCCAGAAAAATCTTGGCCCAACTGAAGTCAAAATGGGAGTTTTGCTATTGACCTCAATGGGCCAGGAGGTCACCCAAGGACTCAAGCCCAGTTGTCTTCTCTAACCCCTAGGCTGCATCAGGAATTTGTCATTGTCTCTTTAATAATTACTGTGAGCTGCAAATAAAGGCAGTTTGACAGAACAATAAAAATGAGGATGATCAGTGAGATCTTATTTTTAGTAATAAAGTATTTAGTATTATTTGACACTATTCTGAAAAATTCTTAATATAAAAACAGCAATAGTAAAAATTATAGATGACAACCAGTGCTAGCACGGTCTCCAACTTTTGTTTCTCCAGGCTCCTGGGGATGGTGGCGCTCATCAAGACAAACAGCACAGAAACCTGGAAGCTGCAGATTCATTCTGGATTAAGCTGGCCTGTGTTTTTAAATCCTCTTTTGCTGCTTGTATTATATTATTCACTGGTCATGTTGCTACAGCAGTGGGCTCTGAGTCCTAAGGTAATGCATGGGTCATAGTGCAGAATGGACAAGACAGATCACAAATGGCACCATAATTAAATACAGCCACATTCAGGAGAGAAATCAAGACAAAAAATCTGTGTCTTTCCACATGATTTCTCCATTTCCCCCCTGGAATTTATGAGGGAGGCCTGGCAGGAAGTTCTTCAAATATTCATCGCTCTTGTCCTGCGCATTGCACAAACGTGAAAATAGGCCATGTCTGCTGTTCCAGTTCCCACCTGGATCGTGTCCATGGAATATTATAAGGGTGATGGCCTGTAACAGTGCAGTAACAATTGCATTGGATGGTATATAGCTGTGTTCAGAGGCGGTGTGACAGCTGTGTGTTATATTTCCTTTAATACAGGAATGTGAAGAGGGCATCCAGTCATCACTGGAAGAGCAGAGTAAGTTGGAACTGGACACCATGCTCTGGATGGCAAAGAATGAGAAGGAAAAGGTAATGGCTATCTTAAGAAGGTTCCTGCAACTGCAACTGTTACAGGGGATATTAACGGGTCAGAATAGGCCCATCATTTGGGTTTTGTAGGAAGGGCCAACATTTTCACGAGTGAATGCCTAAAGGTAGGCTCTTAATTCCGTAATTAGGCACCTAAATAAGTGGCTGGATATCCGAGACCCAAGAGGTCCCATAGACACCACATTCAGTGCAGTCATTCCACTTCACTGTTTCCTTGGTGCACTCTGGAAACCAGCTGTGACATTTACAAGGCTAGCTGCATCTCTGTCCCCTTTCTGGCCTCTGAGTACACTCCCTCAGGTGACAGGCCTTGTGCCTTTTCCTACCCCAGCATGGAATATTGCAATTCTTCCACTCTGAGGCTGGGCCCTGGGATACAGTACCCTATGTATCAACTGTGCTTACATGGTTACGTGAATTCTGACTGAATTTGGGCCCCTGCGGTTCTTCCCTTTGGGAGTTTGACTAGTGGTGAACACTGTGCTCAGACAGCCTTCTGAAAACCATGTATTGTTTATTCTAACAACAGGAACAAAGGATTTTAACTAAACAAACAGTCCACATTCATCTCTTACTTAAAAACGTATCTCCCCCAATGGTAATCTATGCAGGTGTAACTTCTTCAGATACCTCACTGTGCCTCCATCTTACTCTGGTTCTCCCAAATAGCCTCCCACTTTTGACCTCCTATGTTTGCAGGACTTTTCCTGTCATGGCTTTTTCTCTTAAAAACTCTCAGCTGTTTGCTGCGAAGTGGCTTATCTTGAGCCATTCTTTCCCTTCTTGCTTGTTTACCCCCTGCCAGTCTCCTGTTAGTCCCCAATATAGTCATGCAATAAACATCCCAATAGCCAGGTCAACATACAGTATTCATCAATTACAGAGCAGCTCCAAATCTGTCACACCAGGATCCTAGACTAATGCATGGCACAGTGTCTGTAGAAAAGCGAGGCAGGAGAGACACTATTCTATTTCCTTTTCTAGGTGGCTTATTTTTCAAATGGAAGCTGGCAGGACATGCCCCTTTTACAGTGTGAACATGGCAGGAGCCTCACAGCCAGTGCTGATCCCAGTGAAGGACACAGCACTCCTGTATCAGGTACTGTACATCTGAGAGTGATGTTTGCATCATTGCATGAAAAAGCATGACACACAAACCACAAAGTGTAGTAGGCATCTAGCATCTTGGAAAGCAGGCAGCACCAAGAAGAACAGGAAAGAAAGAATTTGATGTCATTTTGCATTTGTCATATGCACAGTATCTCCCAGTACATTTTTCTGATCGAGGTTAAACAGGTAGACCAGGCTCCTCCTTCTACGGCTGGCTCTGTCACTGCCATCTTGGAAAACTAGCTAATTTTTGAATGAGGTGTGGAACGCAGCATCCTCGGTGGGTGAGGCCAAGGAGTCTTGTGAATTATATGATACCTGCAGCAAGGCAAAACCTGCAGGTAAATGAGTTTGAGTTACAGGGTGTTATATTTGCATACGTAAAGCAAGAAATTATCTCCATCCATTTAACATTGATCATTTTGGAGGTATTTTCTACACAGTATCTATGGAGGTATGGTCAACTCCTTCCAAAGTTCAGGGGAGTTGCACACATACCCCCTTAAGTGCAGTCACAAAACACACACGCCTAAGACAAAACTTCTAACTGTTACAGAATAGCATCAATTCTCAATGTAAGGGCTCAGCTGTGTACTAGAGACCCTTCAATCACCTTCATCTGTATCTATACACTTTACATTTCTTACAGACGATAGCACCTGCCCTGAAAACGCAGACGCTGATGGGAATGGCACTAGCAGTATGGCAGTACTGGGGCAGTTCATTATGAATCAAAGTTATGTCAGTGCACTGATTGCCATGATGGTAAGTTATGGAATTGATGGGATTCTTTTTTGTACCTTCGTGTCATTTTCTGGTTTCCATTAGCCTTCCTAAAGAGTTTGTTATAGCGTGGAATACATTCATTGATGTGGGGAGGAAAACATTGTATAGTGCTTCAAAACCTTGTAAGAAATGGATTCACTGCTTTCTTCTAGGGCAGTGGTTCCCAAATTTGTTCCGCCGCTTGTGCAGGGAAAGCCCCTGGCGGGCCGGGCCGGTTTGTTTACCTGCCGCGTCCGCAGGTTCGGCCCATCGCGGCTCCCGCTGGCCGCGGTTCACTGCTCCAGGCCAATGGGAGCTGCGATCGGCCGAACCTGCGGACACGGCAGGTAAACAAACCTGCACAAGTGGTGGAACAAGTTTGGGAACCACCGTTCGAGGGCAAGACATATTCCGCACTACTTTCATGAGGTCCAACAAAATTCTGCATATATTGTGGAATGTGTTGTAGAATCAGGAATGGTGAATAGATTAGCACTGCCCATTGCAGAGTAAAATGTTAGCAAGGAGTGATACAGCAATGCCTGGATTCTGATCTGCTACATAGTAAATCCAGAGCAAGTTCACTTTTAGAGCAAGCTCTGAGAATATTCTCCCCTTGCCATTGCAATGAAGAAAACTAATAGAAAAAGCATATCTGGTAATAAGAAATCCTATCTACTCTGATTTTGTAATGGGCAGCCCACTTTGGGCTATATTTTCAGCTAATCTCAAACTGGCCTACAGTTTTGTGTCTACTTTAGCACAGATGGGGAGCATGTACCTGTGTTATGCATAGAGAACCTGCACCTGGGTGTAAATCAGGTTGTTGGTTGTCCTGTTGCTTGATAGAGGGTAGAAATATGTTCACTGTTGTGGCTGTAGGTGCATGTGCCAAAGTGGAGTGCAAAATTAAAGACTGAAGCTGGTAATACGGCTCTTGCTTTTCAGCTATCCCTGATTTTGGCTTCATTAAGATTTAAACAGCAGCATTCTTTCACTTAGACGCATCTGTTTGCAGGTTTGGAGCATCACCCACAACAGCTGGCTGACTTTTGTTCTGCTGATTTGGTCTTGTATCATTTGGATGGTTCGTGACCGGCGTCGTTATGCCATGTGTAGCTCTCCGTTCCTTGCCATCTATGGGAATATCCTGGTGGTCCTCAATTTCTTTGTAGGGTTCAATATTTCACAAGAAGAACTGTTTCCTGAAATTCCAACCTCTGTGCTCACTGACTTTGATTTAAAACCATACTCTTTGCCATGTGTGCACCTTGGTGTTAAGGTACGGACTTAGTGTTTTCTCATTTAATTGCGAGGCTAGTAACGCAGAGGACACAGGAAAGAACCAAGAAAATACATATTTATAAGTTGCACCTCCATTTTGGGGAAAAAATTCGAGATCATGATCAGGGACCAAATGAGAAAGACTCACAGCCTGGACAGAGATAGTCTCAAGAGATTTACCCAGTGTGGTCATCATGTACTTATCAAACCCAATTCATTTCTTTGAAAGAATGGCAATGAAAGCAGAGGCCTAATGAAGTTGGCTTAATTTGCTTGGACTTTTATGAGGCTTTGATTCAGCACAGTGTGCCTGGTTACCAAGAGATGGATCGGAGCCACAAAATTTGGAACCAGATATATATCTGAAGTTGCTGAAAGGTTCAGGGTGTTTAGATTTGGGGTTTGGGTTCAGTGCATTATACAGATTGAGGCCAGCTGCAAAATTCAGATCTGGGTCCAAACTCTCCCAGAGTTTAGGGGTTTGAACCAGGCTCATGTCTAGCCAGTGGAGATGGCTTAATATTCAGTTGGTTAAAAATGGACTTTGTAAGAGAGGCCAAGAAGTGATGGCAAATAGTTAAGATCAAGTACGTGTAAGAGAAAACAGAGGTGAACCAGAATCCTTATGAATTAATAAATCTTCACAGGGAGGTTTTATTTTCTCATTATATACTTCACCTCAGGACTTGTGTAGTTTTTATACCCGAGTTGGGGAGGAAGAACATTTGGGCAGGGCCGGCTCCAGGGTTTTTGCTGCCCCAAGCAGAAGAAAAAAAAATAAAAATGCCGCAATCGTGATCAACTCTACCACTGCCGCTTCAGTCTTTGGCGGCAATTTGGCAGCTGGTCCTTTGCGCCGAGAGGGCGTGAGGGACCCGCCACGGAATTGCCGCCGAAGAGCCGGACGTGCCGCTCCCCTTTGTTGGCCACCCCAAGCACCTGCTTGCTGAGCTGGTGCCCTGCATTTGGGATAGTGTCACACAAGCCACATTTTGCCTTCTGCCTAAGCCAAACTCATTAAGTTGGCAACAAATAAACCAACAATGTTTTCACTACAAAAGTTGGTTTGCAAAGGATTATTCTCAGTTTGTACTGCAGTAGTGCCTGGGATCATCCCCACTGTGCGAGGCGCTGAACAACCACATAATAAAAGAGGTGTGGCCCCTAAGACCCTGCAACCTAGACTCTGCTCCTTAATTATAATGTAAACATATGGAAAATTTAAGCACCGGGCCAGCCTTTTTTTTCATTGTGCTACTATTTTTCCACCTCACTGGGACAGAGAATTAGGAATCCATATTCCTAGGGAGAGGAGTTATTTGCATTTCTATGTGGGTTCTTTCCATGAAAAAGTAAGGCACAGATGTGGTTTAATTGCAGATCTTTTATGCATTCACGTTCTGGCTATTGCTAAGGCAGCATATGATCAAAAGACATATGGAGCAGAAGCAAGAAACTCTCACGGAAGTGACAGTGGGTGCGAATGGTAAGCAAACGTAACACTATATCATCAGACCACCCTGATACTCCATCTGCCTGTTGTGATTCTTGCTCCCCATCACCATTGTTCCTATGAGTCACCATTATAGGGGTGACCAAATCTCTCGATGTATTAGGTCATTTAACAAGAACGCTTAAGGCCAGGAAGCCATTGCAATATTATTACTATATTAGCAATATATAATATTGCTATATTATTTATTTGTCTTACTTTAGCATCTTTGCTTACTTTAGCCCAAGTCCTGCGCCAGGACCCCACAGTGCTAGGTGCTGTACAAACACAGAACAAAAAGACGGTCCCTGCCCCCAAAATCTAAGTATATGACACAGTTACAAACTAAGTGTGTGACATAGTTTAACATGGGACATTAAACACATTAGGATCGATATTTGCTAGCCTAGGAATGGGAAATGATAATAGAGGTATTAGAATGTTACAATAACCAAGCACATTCTAGTGCCACACCTGACAGATTTGCATTGCTCTTATTACAGAAAGGGAAATCCCGCACAATCCTCTGCTGGAAATCTTTGGCTCTCTGATTAAAGGAATGCTGGTTAAATACTGGATCTATTTCTGCGCTGCCATGTTTTTCATTGTCAGTTTCAATGGCAAAGTAGTGATCTACAAAATACTGTACATTATGCTCTTTCTGTTCTGTGTAGCTTTATATCAGGTAAGCAAACTGGAATTTAAAGTGCTCACACTCTCCACTTTGTTTCCTTCAGGGCAGATCCACAGCTGGTGCAAATTGTCATAGCTCAATTGACTTCAATGCAGCTATGACAATTTGCACCGGCTATGGATTTGCCCTTTTGTATCCTGCTTTGCCTACTGTATGGTTATCTTGATACAGCTGCTGGCCTATATTTTATCCTTAGTCTATGAAGCTTCTCATTTGCTATGGCTACCATTCAATTTGAATTGAAGTGACTGTCTCAGATAGAATAAGATATCCAAGCTGCTCATTTTGTTGGGAAACCTCTCTCTTTCTCTCTCTCTCTCTCTCTCTCACTCTCTCTCTCTTTGTCAAATGTTCCAAACTCATCAATAAGAGTTCTCAGTTTGGCATTTTGGATAGGAGAGGGGATTTGACCTAGCTGTCAGTGGGCCGTCTTCAGTTTACTTAACAAACTGAGGTTCATCTAACCTGAGATGCATTTGGTTTCAGGTTCACTACGAGTGGTGGAGACGAATTCTGAAGTATTTTTGGCTCACTGTTGTCTCTTATTCAATGGTGGTCCTCATTGCTGTGTATGCCTACCAGTTTAAAACCATTTCTGGGTTTTTGCTCCTGACTTTGGGACTGTCAGAGGAGGGGTAAGGACTCTGATTATATTTTAAAGAAATGAAACAAAAGTATCCTCCTGGAAATCCTATTTCACTTGTTTTATCTAGGAATCTATGTTATTATTTATATGTATCATGGCAGCACTTTGAGGCATCAACCCTAGATTAGGGCCCACTGTACTAGGTAGTATACAAACATACCAAGCAACAGTCCCTACCCCAAAGACCTTACAGGCCAATAGATAAGACAGAGATTATAGACCAGACTGTGACATGCTCACTCACTCTGAATAGTGCCCTATACCACAAGTAGTGCTATTGACATTAATGGACTTTTGCCAATGACGATCTGACTCAGAATCTGCTCACCTGCATTAAGCATGACGATGACCATGATGGGGAAAAAATGATAATTTGTTGGTTCATCCAAAAATTACTCACCCCAGGTAAGATGAGAAGAGGAATTTTTCAAGGCTGAAGGAATAATTTTCACAGTGTAGACTGGTTATTCAGGTACCCTTACTCCAAATGCTACCTTACTCTATAAGGATAGCTACTGGTTTCAATGGAACTCAAAGTAAGTGTGAGTCACACAACATGAGTAAAGATATCAGTATCTGGCTCTTGGATCACTGTAGACACACTATGTGTCCCCCACCACAACAGTTACATGAAGCCACGAAAATCTATTGCTAACAGTGGCTGGTTCTTAACTCTCCATCATCAGGTGTAGCTGCTGCCTTAGTTTCCCTTCAGGATCAGTACCTGATGGGTGTGGACATTTTAGCCATTTGGCCAAGCTTACAAGGCCACCCCTTGCAGGATATCCAAAGTCCCAAGTAAACAGCTGGGCAGCCTGGCCACAAGAGTTCACTATACACACTGCCTCCTCATCAAGTTTCTTCACCCAGGCATTTCCACCCTAGAGGCTGATGTACAAAGCCATAAACAAAGAAAAGAAGGCCCAAAATACACAGTCCCTGGGTGGATCCCTGGCTACTTGGTCACTGGCCCCCTCAGCTGATGTGGGGAATATGGGGGTTCCTTCCTCCCCCCCCAAACAGGAAGACACAACACAGGTCACTTCACCCAGGAGAAGAAAACTCTAGGCAAAGCCCTAAATAAACTCCTTTGTCCAACGTTTTCATCTTTACCCAGCCCCAAGACCTCTTTCTGGGATACCTTTGCTCACTTCCTAGGTCTCTCCTGGAGAAATCCACCAGCAGTTACCACTCTTCTCAAAACCTCTCTGGGACGAGGGACAAAAGGGTTTATAAGCCAGGTCTTCTTTCCCAGCATGCCTTGCAGGCACGTAGGCCTGTTTTTAAAGGGCTCATATAAGCTGTTGCACTGATCACCCTTTCAATCATCATTCCCACCCCATCACTCGTTTATAGCGCAATTAAATTACAACCTCCCCCCTCACATCCTGTGAGCCCATCCCATCCCCATCGGCCTGATTCCAAAGCCTATGGAAAGACTCCCTTTGACTTCAGCAAGCTTTGGATTAGGGCCTAAATGCCTGTGAAGGTTAGTAAGTGTGTGCCTGGAATGTCAGTAAGTTTGGGTTGTATTGTATTAGTTAATGATTGTAGCCACACTGAAGTGCATGGATGAAAGGATTAGTATGGATCCAGTCCTACAAGGTGCTGAGTTCCTCCTCTGATTTCAGTGTGAGCTGGGGTACCTCAGCACTGCCCTTGATAAAGCCCAATAAATTCACAGCATTATTATGAAGTTAATAGTGCAGTGAGGGTGCGTTACCCTATTCCCCTTGTAGGGCTGTACAAGAGCTCCCAGTGGTTTCTGTATTTTCAATGATGTGGCTAAGGCAGCAGGATGTGGGATATAACCCAAACCACAACGGGTGACTTGCTGAAATACAGACCCCAGCTTTGCTTGAGGGACTCATCAGCTTTTTTTCTTTTGGGAATTATCACTGATGTTAGATTGAGAATATTGTAGCCAGCTTTTCTGGAAAGACTCTGTACTTTGTTTAGTTAAATAGTTTGAGGGTTTTCATAGTAATTGTAGCCACATAGCGGTAGATTTTCTAAGATCAATGGAGTTCCCCCCCCCCACCCCAAAGTGGGCCTTGGATCTTTCCTGAGGTTAGAGAAAGAGAGAGAGCAGGAAGGAAATTTGGGAATAACGTTCTGTGCTTGAAAAAAGACAATGGGGTTCTTTATGTAATCTCAAGATAACATTGAAAATAAAGGGGTATATCTCTGTAAATGAAGTGTAGTCAGTAGCCCCTGCCATGACTTCAGAGTCCAGGGCAGAATTTAGGGAGACCATGACTGGTAGCACAAGGCTCCATCAATCATCTGGAATCTTGAGAGAACGATATGGTCTCTCTGCATCCAAAAAGCCTCAATGAAGAATCCCCTTGATGCTCATTAAAACTGAGCTCAGTCTATTCTCTACAGTGAGGGACACTACAGTAGCTCCATATAACTAGCTACCTCACTATATTCTAGAGTAACCCTTTTCAGTATCCTTACTAGAAATTTGTCCCTTAGTTTATAAGGCTGACTTGTGAAAGGCTTTTTCCTTTTTACTTGACAGGTTAAAAGACTTGGGTCTTGACCAGTATGACACGGTAGAACTGTTTGCTAAGATTCTGCTTCCTTCCACTTTTCTCCTGGCCTGCATCCTTCAGCTTCGTTACTTTAGTGAGGATTTTCTGAAGATCACTGACCTGAGTAATATTCCCATCAAGCATGAATGTACTTCTGGCAGGTATGTGAACAGACCTGCACATTGGTAAACTGCAAAGCATGTCCCTACCTAAGAGTTATCAGCTAGAAAATGAGACTTGAAAGTGCTTTACATTTTATATATTTACAAGAATTTGTATTGGTTTTCTGATGCACATGGAGGAACAAAGGCACTTTTATAGAGAAGTTCGGCCTGCAATTACAGCATGTCTAATCGGTGCATAAATTTATTATGGCTGCACATACAAAATGGCACCTCCAGAAACAAATACTTAATTTGTCCTGCACTTACTCAGCTGGGGAAATTTCATGCACAAACTAGTCACATATATGCATGTGCAATTACTATGCCCTGCTTATTTGAAATCTGGTCTTTTAAACATAATAGGCCAAATTTTCAAAGCCAGGCAAAATGCTTGTGCTCATAAAGAGGTGTGCAAATAGTGAACCAGTAATCCCACTTTTGCATTCAAAAATTCTTCTTTCCATGCAAAATTGTGAGGCTTTCTGGGTGCATTGGTATGGAAACGTTGTGTTTTGGTTTGAAAATTTGCCTCAAAATAAGAGTCAGAAAGAACAGAACAACATAACGTTTCCTTAATTTCCAAAATAGTGGCAGGAAAGGATTTAAATTGCTTAATATTTACAAGGCATTTTAATGGAAATCTTATTACTTGTGGAAATCCATGAATATGTTACTCTCCCTTAATGAATTGTAATGACTTCTATTATACCTAAAACATTCCATTTTGATTTTGCTGGTTTTCTTTGGATAATATCTATTGTATTGGGTTTTTTCCCTGAACGGAGGGGATGGGGATAATAGAAATATGCCAATATATATGATCAATATATAAAGAGCCTGCTCCTGCTCCCACTGAAATCCCTGTTAGTTTTGTTATTGATTTCAATGGGAGCAACACTAATCACATAAACTCATCTTCAGTAGAGGACACACTGAACCATTACCATGTAGCATGCAACATAGTAAATGTTCCTAATAGAGAAAGGGCCCAATTTTCAATCTTGGGTGCCTAAAACCCAAATCCTGCATTAGGCCATGCCAGCATGGAGCCCCATGCCCATGGAAGATTCCCATAAATGAAAAAAAGATCCTTGAAACACACGTGTTAGGTGCCTACGTGTTAGTTTGAGCACCCAGAAGCACAAATGCATTCCCTGATTTAGCAACCCAGCTTTGAAAATTGGACTCTGTATAATGCCGGAAATATTGGTCTGATCTTATTTTTGGAGGTTTTTTTGGAAAGGAAGGTACTAGCACTGAACCTCATTGTGATGCAGAAGATAATGGGGGAGGATGAGGCACATCCTGTCAGCCATGTGCTAAAGAGAACATATGTTGACTTTATGCTATATTTTCTCCCTAGTAAAAAGAAAACGGAAACTCAGGTGTATCTCCTGGCTGACATGTGAGTTCATTTAACTTCTTCACCCTTTTCCAAACATTTTCTTTTTAACTATATCCAACACCATTATTTTGATTGTACTTCGTTTTGCTGTAGGACAACACACAATGGAGCTCAGCAAGGATAGTAAAATATGTTACTGATGGAGAGGAGAAGGAGAAATAGGGAGTAGGTCACCAATAACTTTCCCATACATGTCCTGGACAACATTTTCTTTCCTGTATTGTAGGGTTGTATTCTGTGTGCAAGTTAGCTGCTTTCCTCACTCAAGGTGGATGCACTGTAGTTAGTGCAGTGTAGGTGCAAAACACTTGTTTAGTGTGTCAAATTCTCTCTCTCTAATGGTTCTCCCCAGCAAGGATAATCACTTGCTGCTCTCTGTTAGCTGCTTACTGATAGCTTGAGTGGTAGCTGCTGAAGGTGTTGGGTTTGATTCCTACTAATAACCAGGGATGCTGTATGAACATGGCCATATATCATTTGTGAATTGCTTTGGGCCTGTTGGGATGAAAGGCTCCATAAATCTGTAAGGGATTCATAGTAGTAGTTGTAGAAAACTAGACAGATACAATCCAATATTTGATGTTATATTTTTCCTGCTTTTAATTTTCAGGCTTAAAGAAAATATTTGGAAACTGCAAAACAGGTGAGAATGAAATGACATTGAGGAACGCATTTCTCTGTATGATTCATTGGAGTCTACTCTGCTCTTGATGCCTGGATGACACAAAGGCGTAACTCTGATTAGGAGTAAATGGATTTACTGATGTTACTTCTCCATGAATTTATAGTAGAACCAACTAGTATATTTTGTACTTAGAAATCTGACATTGGGAACACTTGTTTCAGATATGCAGCACTGTCATAGCATGTCTAAGAAAATATTGGAGACAGATTTAAAAAAAAAAAGGATTTACATGAAATTTGTTTGCTTTAGTTTAGACCCCAGGCTCACAACACAGTCGTAGTCTTTACAAACATCATAGGGTGGGATTTTCAAACTCGCTCAGCTTTGGTCCAATTCTGCTCCTGTTAAATTCAGTGGGAGATCTACCAGTGATTTTAATCAGAGCAGAGCCGGGCAAACCATGAGCTCATTTGAAAATCCCACCCATAAATTATACATATATCACAGGTGTATACCTCCACTTTGTAGTCTGTTCCCTTTCAGGCTAGTTGCAGGCAATTAAAAAATGGATCACAAACTGTGTAATAGCAGAATATGTCTAACTCTCTTTAACACCACAAGGTAAAGGGATCAATGTCTAAGTTGTCTGGCATTAGCAACTTTCTTGTGTTCCCAACAGGCTGGCAGCCAATGAACTGCATGGTGAAAATCAAACCACCTCGGACAAGATAGAGAATACAACAGTGTATGAAACCATGGGAGCGGCTCAGCAGGAGAAATCAGGTGATGATATGTAGCTCCTTGAAGCCTTGGTTGAATGATTGTTTTTTTTTTTTTTACATGGAGCAAAGCCAATACTATGTAGTTTACAGAAGCCCCTCAACTTACGCAAGCGTTATGTTCCGGAACGCCTTGCATAAGTCAAATTTTGCGTAAGTCAGGAACGTATCTCCGACAATTATGCAAAAAAAAAAAAGCTTACGGAACTTTTTCTGTAAGTCCGGATTTCTGTAAATCAGGTTTGCGTAACCTGTGGAGCACCTGTATAGGCAAGTGCTTGAGTATTCTTATTCTAGGGGTTGATGTCAGGCACTGTAGGTGTATAGCAGTGGGAATCCTGCCCAAGGGCTGACCATACTTGAAGTCCTTGTCCTCCCTAACCACAAGGGTGGTAGGAATCAATAATGATTAGTGAGTATGGAGATATAAAGCATGGTGGATATATAGTTTTTTTGGATCTACGCCCCAAATACAATTTTGCTTTGTTCTTTATTCCTAACCTGACTTTGCTCTAGCAGGAACTGTGAGGCCGTGGAATTCACAGCTTATTTCTTAAAGCTTAATTATGCCAATACAAAATAGTCACCAAAGCCGGAGGAAGGAATAGCACTCCATGTATGAGCTACTGTTGACCTCTTTAATCCCATATTTCTCCACCACAATACTGGCGCCCCTGAACTCTTCTGTCCTTCCTCTGATGTGGAGGATTAAGACCTAGCTGACAAGTTATTTGACAAAGCAGTAAAAATAGCTAAGGATTTCTATTTCTCTGTCTCCGAAATCATCTCTACAAGTTATTTTAAAGCACTAATCCAGCACTTTTCTTTTCTTAGTGGGAGAGCCTAATAAATGGTGCCTGGTCATCGACAAGTTGGCTTCTCTTCTCCTGCAGCTCTTGGAAAAGTTTCATAAAACTCAGGTGTTAGCCTGGAGAGTCCTAGAGCTGCACATCCTTAAAATTGTCTCCACTTGGGTCATCTGGATCACTCTCCAGGAGGTTGGTGAATAGTATGAAGAACCTGAAAATATCATTCATTTTCTGCACACTCCTTTCCTGGTGCTACAAGAGTCTCAGATCTCCTCCAAATCAGCAGCCAGGGCGTTATGTTCGTATTTTAGGCCAGTAACTGTAATTCTCTACGTACATAGAAATGTATATTAGTGGGCGTTCCCGCTTCTAATGAGGTTTACACACTCTGCATGTTGTCCAAACTGAGCAGCTTCCCGGGGTTTTGTTTTATTGTTAAGTCAAGCAACCAAACAAACATAAACCTCAATCTAAACGATCTCTGCAAGCTGGCTTTGTTTAGGGTTTTCCATCCAACACCTCTCCCCCATTCCTTAGTTTCCTCTGCTTTTTGAAAGGCTCTAAACACTTTTATATATTCTGGATGGACCTGGTTGAATCAACTTGCTGCTATAATTCCAATGCACCTTCATAAAGGGTTCATATATATGTAGAGTCCTAGAGTCTGCCAACCTGCTACAAGGTTAATGCACCAGCCTGCACACTGCCTCCAAGATCTCCTGGGGAGTGCAGCCAGCATGCCACCTTTAAAGAAGGTGTAGCATGAACTCTCATCTGACAACGAACAGCTCTGTTAATTGCTTTGGTGGATGATGCAGAACCATGGCCTCACTTCGACCCTATTCTTCCCTGCCCTTTAGTTAAGCTGTGTAGTCCTTGAATTCAGGAGAGCACAGGGACTGCTATTGTGCCTAGATGTGGGGCAGCATCGGACTTGTTTTAGAAATTTTATCATGATGTGATATGGCATAATAGAGCCTACTTGGTTTTCTTCTCAGTTTGCTAAGCAAAGTTTCCTTTCCTCCCTGCAGCCATCAGAATAAACCTTAGTTGAAACTTAGGTGGCTCATGTAATTCAGACCCAAGATTTCATAATTAAATACATGTGCAAATGGCTAGTTAGACAGGGCTTCACCAGAACCCAAATTGTTCCTGTTTGTTGCTGTTAAGATTCAGGTTTTCATAAATGTTTTTCATGAATCTATCTGCGCAAACTGTAACTATCTAATTTTACAGAGCGAGGAAACTACATAACAGTGACCTAAATGTCACTTAGTCTCTTGCAAGGTAAAAAGTCATCCTTAAATATCAGGAAGAGAAAAATGTAAATAAAATCATATCACTTACTACATTTATAATAGGTCCTTTCCTGATGGGCAGAAAAGACAAGATTTTCTAATCAGCAGCGTTACTTGCCATCCCAAACCATCAGGGCATATTTTTTCCTCAAATAATCTTTTGCTTTATCTAATAGTTTATCTGTTATTCTGTATTGTGTTGTTGCAAATACCACAAGCTGAACTCCTCAACCCACAAACACATCAGCAAAGAGGTAAGTTACAGTGAAACAACTCTGATTTTTTTCCTGCAATGACTTTAGGTATCTTTGATGAATTACCCTTTCTTCGTCCTTTGGGTGTTTGCCCTGCCCTATCCCAAGATCCGCCCTCATGCATCAAAGATCTGCACAGTTTGGTCCTGTGTGATGGTTATCTGTAAAATGATGTACCAGCTGAAATTCGTCAGGCCGCATGACTACTCCTCAAACTGTTTGCAGGTGAGCATTCTAGAGCACTCAGGTCCTGATTCTGCAAACACTCAGGATATATCTTGAGTGAGCAAAAGCGAACCTCCCAGCCTGGGTCGACAGACTCACTCTGGCCCTCTAAAAATAGCTGTATAGATAGTGCTTTGATGTTGCATCTCAGACTAGAGTTCGGGCTCTGAAGCCTAGGGAGGGGGTGGGATTCTTAGTGCATCACACTCAGCAAAGATCTGTGAACAGCCAGCAAGCAGTGTCCTTCCTCTGGAAATTTCCACTACATTCATCTGACGAAGTGGGTATTCACCCATGAAAGCTTATGCTCCAATATGTCTGTTAGTCTATAAGGTGCCACAGGACTCTTTGTCGCTTTTTACAGATCCAGACTAACACGGCTACCCCTCTGATATTTGAATAATGTGCAACTTCCACATCAAGACAAGATTTAACATAGACCTGGGAATGCAATTCTCTCAGCCAAAGCTTTCCCAAGAAGCTTTTGTAGGTTTGCATTTGATAAACCCCAGTGCAATGTGAAAGGGAATGGAAAGTTTTGAAACTTGCTTGTTGAAAGATAGTAAAGAACGGGGGCTATTGCAGATAAACAGAGACCTTCCTTTTGTAGGCACAATTTATACCTACAGTTTTCACATCCGCAAAATTGGTGGGTTAAATTTTTGTGCTGGCAAAAGAATTAGGGTCTCAAATATTACAGCAGGATGGATAGCTACCTGATTTGTATTTGAGCTTCAAACTGATGGCAAATTGAGGCAAAAAGAAGTTATTTGCCCATGGCCACACAAAAAGTAGCAGACCCAGGATTCATGAGTCCTGACTGAGGGCATGTCTACATGAATATTTCATGTGTGGCAACCTGGGATGTAAATCTACTGTGCTCCAATGTGCCGTGCACAGACGACGCATGTGGAACCTGCTGCATATTAAACATACCCTATTTCAGTACCAGGTCCCTGTACTCTAGGGAACTTCATTTCCTTTACTCAATTACTTCTCTCTCATGTTACTTATTGGGCACAAAGAGATGAATTAAAATTAAAAGATGGCTATGCATATAGGAGTGTTGCCAAGCAAGAAATATACCAAGCACTCTTGAGTGAAATTTCTGGCATAGAAAATCATCAATGCCTACCACGAAAACTAAATTAGATGGCATCTGTTCTATTTGTGTGCACATTACATTCTGGATATAAATTGGTAGAAATAAAAAAAACTTTAAACACAGTAGGGAGCTACTAGGACTTGCGCTTACCCCTATTATTGAAGGAGTTAGTTTCTGAGACTGTATTTCAGACAAACATGCTTCATTCCATAGGGGCTGTACCAGAACAGAACCTACTATCATCACATCCTGGATGAACTGTTGCAGAAATCAGTGTTGTACGTTGCTCCTGTTGATCCCGCCGATTGGTGTGGAGGGTTACGGAAGTGCGGTGACAATGTTTTACCCTGCCTGAAGGTAGGATTCTTATTGTGCTGTCTTCTGACACTATTACTAAATAGAGTAACAGGGGTAGTCAGCAGCTTCGCTCAGCACAAACCCTCTGCTGCTATGTCAGATTTTGACATGAACAAGCAGGAAGAGGGAGGGACACGGGAATTTGAAAATTTCTTCTTAATTAGATCTTAATGAGAAGATGTGATTAAAAAACGGTGACAGGGTAAATGGAAGAGAGAGAAGATCTACCAAAGAAAATGAGAAGGTTTTCTCAGCCATTCTTCTGTACTTGGTTTTCTTCTCATTCTGCTTCAGCAGCTTATGAGACATCAGTAAACATTCTCCATACCGTCAAGAGTCATTATTGTTTGTCTCAAGGAACATCTTATCCCTTGAAATTGCCACTGGTCTGAATCCAGTATAGCTACTACTCCAGTATTATGGGAGAGAAGTCCATGGGAGAATCTTTCCCAAGTCACCAGGTTGCAGTGTTCCAGGAGAGAAAAGAAGCATTTATCATTCATTTCTCATAGCCTTATTATTCTCATGAGACATTTTTATAGTGCTGTAAATTTACATGGCACTTCACATAGCACATAGAACATAGCAAAGGCAGAGCCCTTTGCATCCAATGAAACAGACAAGACACAGCTCAGAACAACAGTTTAGTTGTAAGCTTCATTTGTCCTGCCGTTTGTCTTTCTCAGTGCGGGTTGTTCAATATTGCATTAAGAATGCCATTAATATCTGGTGCCATTTCATTCTGCCCTTGCAGAACCATCTCACCATCTTGGCATTAATGGTAATAGAAGTGACTGTGTATCACCACCAGCTCTTTTACCGGACTCAAAACCAGCTGATGCCACCTGTTACAGGGATCATTTTTGATACCATCACCCGAGAGCACCTGGATGATGGGTTACTCAGCTGCATCAAATACTTTATCAACTATGGTTTCTACAAGTTTGGACTAGAGGTGAGCAAATATCGGGGGAGAACAATCCTCTTTGGACTTGGTCCCCAATAATAGCTCACTGAGGCATTAAGAAGCCTGTGGAAAACACACACAAACAGAGAATCTAAATTCCCTTCTGGTGTAAACAAGCACAACTCCATTGACTCCCCCTAGAAAATGTGTTCCCATGCAGATATGGGCAGCAATGATCAGTGAGATCAGATGTGCACAGATGCAGAGCTCTTAGGGGTTGATTCATTTCCCTGGTTGGAGCGGGTTGCAGTTTGAAGCCTCCCCTGCCCAGGTCGCCACACTGGAGAGCAGATGACAGTATCAGGGATTCAGTTTGGGGAGGGCAGCTTTAAAATTCAGGCTGCCTGCCACTTATGGCCTGGTCTTCGTGGGCTTATCATGCTCCCTTTCGGGGTGGCAGCGGCTGGCTCTTGTGCCCTGGTGGAGTGCTGTGCTCCCTCTCCCAGAGGATAAGGAGGGGGAAGTTCAGCAGAAAGTTTTTATCGCTGCCCTAAGCAGGTCCTTTTTTTTGCCTGCTGCTGATGGTTTTCACTGTAGCATGAGGTGAATGCATTGTTTTGTGGGTACGTCCCCTTCCCCAGCCTTTGAAAATCTGGCTCTTGTAGTCAGAGTCATTCTCTTCACTACATGAGCTTCTCTCAGTGTTTCCCGTCATAGCATTGGTTCAGGGGAAGTCACCTTTGTGGAAGGAAAGGCAGAATTTTCCTGTTCATATTTTATTCCCTAGTGACCAACTCTCCTTTCTTTAATCTATTAACTTTGACCATGGCCTTGTCTACATGGGAAAGTTTTACCAGTACAGTTAAACCGCTATAGTTATATGTGTATAACTCTCATTAGACACTCTTATTCTGGAATGAGTGCCTTTTGCAGATTAGTTTAAACTCCTTCTCAAGCGACGTAAGAAACTGAAAAAAGCCTCTCTTATCCCAGAGTAAGAGTGTCCACATGGCTATACTGCTAAAATTATATTGGTTTAAATTCACATCTTAGCTGATACCAGTATGACTTTCCCACACAGCCAAGAGCTAACGCTCCCCGCAGTGGTGACCTTTGAAAAATTAAGCGGTCAGGAGGGCTTTCCGAGCAACCCTGGGCTTTGACGGACAGCGTCGCCACCCGGCTCACCGGAACATTCCATTCTTTCAGGTGTGTCTCATCATGGCCGTGAATGTCATTAAGCAGCGTATGGATTTCTATGCCCTTCTCCACGGCTGCTGGCTGATCTACCTGCTGCACCGCCGCCGAAGGAAAGCAGTGGCTGAGGTCTGGCTGAGATACTGCTCTTTCCTTGCCAGTGTCATGACCTTTCAGTATTTGCTATGCATTGGCTTCCCTCCTGCTTTCTGCAAAGGTAAATGCAACCCAGTGCCTTGTCTGAGTGGGGGTTTGAGTGAACACATAGAAAAGCCCCCAGCAGTCACTGATAACCTGGAAGAGGATTGGCCAAAACATGACCGGTGAGGGCTGTTGAGCCATATCCCATCCAGCTCTGCAAGGAGAAGAGAACATACAGGGACACCGAAAGGGGAAAGTCCCTGGTGATGGTGTGTAAGCTAGTAGGGACGTTCTACCAACCCGGGAATGGAAATAACACTCCAAGCCTCAGTCCTCTAAAGTCCTTTCCTCAGGGCTTGTTTATTATCTGCCCCCAAAACAACAGCACATCAACTGAAAACCACTGGGCAATAATCCCTGGAGGCTACCGCCCGCTCGGAGGGGAGACCCATCCTTTCCTCTTAGTTCTCTTGTGGTCCAGCTTACCTTTTCTTTTAGGCTCCACCACAAGCATCCAGTGACCAGACTTTGTTAAACCTATGTAAGCTGAAGCACCTTTACCTGGTCAGATGATCCCAAAAAACTTACCCAAACATTGTATTAGTATTACAATGATTATTAATACATCCCTGTAAAATTGTGTCTCTTGTCTGTAGCTTTTCTCTCTCGCTTTTTTCCTCTCTATGATTTTTCCCTTCAAAAGGCTACAGTCACATTAGGATGACTGGCTTGGTTTCACCTCCTAGCATAGGTGACACCCCATGTGCTCTCCCTGCACTATGAGAATCAGAAGAGCCAAGTCATTCCATGATTCCAGAGACACCAGGTACAGCCAAGGGACTGGAGGGGAGGGGGCAGCCAGGAAACGGCAGAGAAACAGATGAGGTGAGGTATTTCAGGAGGACCAAATAGCTGTAAATCACTGGCTGGGTTTAGCTGGCTCTGAGCTACAACAAGCATAGGTCAGAGAACACACTGGAATAGACCAGGACAATTCCATCTCTATTCAATCCCAAGCCCAATTGCTATGTGGTAAACTGCATGCCAGGAATAACACTACAAAGATTTTAGGTTCTGGTCCAGCTCCCATTAAAGTCAGTTGAAAGATTCTCTCACTGGATGCATTACTCACCGCCAGGCTGGCGCCTCCTCATGATCATTCTGGGGATTAGCTCGAGGCTGATCCACCCTGTCCACAGCTTGCACACCATCACTCCATCCTTGCTTCCACCTACAACCGCTCCCTCAGCTGCCGGAACTGCAGCATCTTCTTCATGGCTCAGCCCTTTGGCCACGTCACTATCCATGTTCCCCCCTTCCGGGGGTTAGTGTCTCAGTTCAATAATCATGCCACTTCCCCAGTGGCGACTGGGGGGAACCCGGGCCCACCCACTACTTGGTCCCAGCTCAAGGACCCTGTATCTAGCAGCTTCCTGCAGCACCTCTAGTTCTTCTAATTGCTGCTACGATCCCCTGGACCACTTCTCCATGGCCCCAGCATCTTCTTTGCCCTTACTGCAGGGCACTCAGCTGTTCAGTCCCTGTAGCCAATCAGGAGCTGTCTCTTGCTCCCTCCATTCCCTGCCAGCAACTGACCTGTCCGTGGTGCTGGCTTTCTTTCAGCCTGTTAGGGACACAGTCCTCATCCTTTGGGCTCCCAGCAGCAACTGACCTTTAGTCTGCCCTGCAGCTCTTTTATGTGACCCTGCTGGGCCCTGATTGGCTGTTCCTTGCAGCCTCTCTCCTATTGACTGTGCCCCATGCAGTCTCTCTAGGCCTCTTTTAACTCTTTACATGCCGGTGTGGGGTGGACGCCCTGTCACAGACTCCCACTGACTTCTTCAGAGGGTTGATTCAACTCACACTGGAGAACTCACGGCATCAACACTAGTTGTTTCAGCACTGACGAGAGCTCGCTTTTATTGGTAGCATAGTGCCAACCCTGTGCTATCAGGAGGATGGGCTGTTATCCAGACATGTGCCATTTCCCTTGAGAAATGCCGGTGCGCTTCAACTCGAACATTTCTAGGCTGTAAACTCAGAAATTAGCTTAAAATGTTTTGTGTGATGAAAAGAACCCCTTTGCCAACAGATTATCCATGGAGAACCTCTCGCTGGACAATCCATTCCAATCTGATTAAGTGGCTCTATCTGCCTGATTTTGCCAAGAAACCTGATGCCAGTTTTCTCCTGTGTAAGTATCAATCATCCAGGGCAGCATTTTACTGTCTGAAATTCCTACTGCTAACTTCTAATCATTGTCACCATAATATTAAACATAATCAGAATAGTCTTGTCTGAAGCTGCTAAGACGCTGTTTTCCTGTCTCCTCCCAGATGACTTCCTGCTTCTGCTTTTTGCCTCCCTGCAATGGCAGGTATTCAAAGATGAGAATAAGGCTTGTGTGCGAATAGAGGCAGGAGATAATGTGGAGATCAGCCGTGAATTAGACCCAGCTGCTCTCAGCCAGTACAGCCCTGTGCCAAACTTTATCCACTGCAGGTAGGAACGAGCAAGATTTGCTTTGCCCAAGTATAGCAGGTGGAAACGTGGAATCTGGATTTTGAAGGTGTTTGGATGTAAGATTTTATCAGGCCTTTATGAGAAGTAGAGGGCAGCTGTGCAGTTTGGATCTGGAACCAGGTTTGTGCTCAGAGTCCCCATCCAATCCAAAGTTTGTGGGTGTTTGGAGGTGGGGCTCATCTTTAGTTACAAATCCTTTAATAATTAATCGATTTCAAAGCCAGAAGGGACCACTAGATCACCCAGTCTGGCTTTCTGTGCAACCCAGGGCAGAGAATTTCACCCACTTACCCGTCTTCAGCCCAGTGACTTGTGTTTGATTAAATCATAGCTTCAAAATGGGCATCCAGTCTTTATCTGAAGACATCAAGAGATGGGGAATCCATCACTTCTTTAGGTAGCTTGTTCCAACAGTTCATCACCATCACCCTTAAAAATTATAAGCTAACCCACATGCTGCTAAACTCTATCACTCTGTTGGAATTCACTATGTCTTATATAGTACAGTAACTGGCCTTTAGTATCCTCAGTGCATCCAAATAAAATATTATTCATCCTTGTAATGAAATGACATCAGAGAATGGACTGCTATAATATCCTCGGATAAAGATCAAAATAGATTTACAGTTAACTTTATCAGCTCATTAGCAAAAGATCTTGAGTGGGTCTATGCAAAGTTCATACTGCATGGAAAATTTTTGCAAGTGGCATCTTTTCTCTTCTCTGTATGAACCAGCAACCTATTGATGAACCACTTTAATTTTTAGTGTAATAGGCAGATAAAATAACGGCTTGCAAAAGGAGTGGGCAAGCCTGTAATCTCAGTTCACCTGGCGGAACTTCTACCTAGGGAACACAAAGTTCACTGATCTAGTCTCGACTGAGCTGGTGTATAATGGGTAGGTGCAATGGGGTGCTGCCATAAGTCCAGGGGCACTGTTGGTTTAAATATTTAAGTGCATGGCCACCAGTTGGCAGACACAAGAGTCACCTTGATACTGTTCTGACACTTCATTTCCACTCCCGCAGGTCCTATTTGGATATGGCTAAAGTGGTCGTGTTCGGCTATCACTTCTGGTTTGTGCTCTGCCTGATTTTTATCACTGGGACAACTCGAATCAACATATTCTGTCTGGGCTATCTGATGGCCTGTTTCTACTTTATGATCTTTGGAAGCAGTCTCCTTCTAAAGCCGGTCAAGAATATTCTCAGATTGTGGGACTATTTGATTGCGTACACTGCCTTAGTTATAGTGATGAAGAATCTACTGGCTGTATGTATTGTCTTTCACAGAATTAGGGAAATATCTGCCCTCTTGTTGTTTTTTATATTACAGTAGGACCTAGAGTCACCAGCCAAGATCTGGGACCCAGTGGGCTAGGGAATTTACATATGTGTGGTGAAAAATGTCCCTGCCCAAAGAGCTTACTATCTAAGGCCCTGATCCTACGATGACCTCCTCATGGGCAGATCCTTGAAGTCAGTGAGGTTCTTGACAGACAAAAGGTAGAAGAAAGGGAAGTATTACTGTCCCCACTTTTCAGATGGGGCGACTGAGGGACACAGGGTTCACGTGACTTTCCCAAGGTCACACAGGTAGCGTGTGGCACAGTGGGGAACATCACCCAGAACTCATGAGTCCCAGTCCAGTGCTTGAACCTCACGACCATCCATCCTCTCTATTTCCACCGCTAAGTAATAGCCAGCTGGTGGTGGAATCAGTGGGCTTCTGCTGTGTGTGGGGAAAGCAGGATGTGGAGAGCATGGGAAAGGGGACCCACACTTTCTGTAACTGCAGAGCTGTGGGTAAGGTTGGTTTCAGGCGCTGTGGTGTGCAGGAGGAGGTGAGTTTCAGGGCAAGACTGGGGAGTTACAAGGGCATGACCAGGACCTCTGCAATGAAGTGGCTTCACTGGCTAACGCCTTTCTCTCCATGTGTGAAGGGGTGGGGACAAAGCCGCTATGAAGGCTAATGAGTCCTGAGGCCACACAGTGGCTCTGTTACTGCCCTAAGGCCTCTGGGGCAGGATTCTGCCACCCATTTGTGGAACTCCCCTGGGCACAGCCCACCTACGCTCTCCGTGACAGTGACTGGAATATGGCCCTGTTTGATTTTTCCAGTTCAGTTGATTTAAGCCCTTCTATAGTATGATAAATGTTACATAATAAAATTATGACATTTCCAAAAAATAATCTGGTCCTATATCTCTTTCCCCTAGAGGGTGGGGAAGCATTCACAGCTGTGGTCTGTGCTGGAGCTGGTCTGTGGATGAAAGGAAGACGTCTTTCTCCAGGCTGCTCATGCAACACCTTTAATGAAAACTAAATTCAACTAAAAAAAAAAAAGAAGAAGAGTTTTCAGAAATAGCTTCCTGCTCATGAAAATCAATCAGTCCATCCATTAGAGACGTGTGGCCTGGCTCGGCCCCAGCTTTCCACCTGCGTGCCCTCCCAAGAGCAAACAGAGAGCAAAGCACTTTTCCGCAATTACGGGCCTTTCCTGCATGCTGCCTATCTTCTCTGTTTCTTAGGCATGGAAAGTGGGATACCCGAGAATCCTCTTCTCTAGCTAATTCAGGAACAGCAGCTAGAAAGGCTCATTAAACTGACCCATCAGACTAGTTTGGATGAAAACAGCAAGTGCCGTTAGAGCTTAGATAAATGAATACAAAGGAACAGAATGATGCTGTGCCTTTTCACTGTCTCCTTTTTGATTGTAGATTGGAGCGTGTGCCTATCTTGATAAGTTACTGAGAAACCATTGCTGGCTAATACAGATCTTTGGCATGTTCTGTACTATACCGGGGTATGACTTGGGTAAGTACAAATAATGAACCGGCAGAGAGGACGTACCATGTGACTGTAATTTCAGGAAAACATTTTCTTACTGAAGGATAAGCAAAAGTCTAGTCCACTTTTTCTACAAAGCCAATAAAACACTATCACTAGCAGTGCAAGCAGAGACCTGTTTAATGAAGTGGAGGCCACAACTGTGTATGGCATGTAACAATTCCGTGTGGAAACCTACCAATGGCCCAGCTAGTGTGGGAAACAGACAGAAGCAAGTGCTAGATGCTCCAGAGAAACGTAGAAAGCCACCATAGCGCACCCTAGTCATTCCAATGGGTTATTCCATGTGGGCTGTGTTTCTTTGAGAGAGACGTGACCACAAAAGAGCCCAGCAGCCTCTAGTAGAATTGTATAATGACTTACATAGGGTCTGGTCCAAAGGCCATCGAAGCCAAAGAGAGTCTTTTCATTGACTTCACTGGGCTTTGGATCAGACCATAGGGAATGAAAACAGGAGCTGAACCTGTAGCGGTAGCATAGCTAGGCGAGAAGCGGGGCAGCGGCTGCTCCCCCACCGAGCACAAGTGGCGCCTTTTTAATTTTACTCACCCGGGAGCGAAAAAATTAAAAGGCGCCACTCGCTGCGGTGCTTTTACTGACGGGGCGGCGCGTCGGGTCTTCGGCGGCGGGCCCTTCACTAGCTCCGGGTCTTCAGCGGTACTTCGGCAGCGGGACCTTCACTCGCTCTGGGTGTCTTCTGCGGCACTGAAGCTTCATTGCCAAAATGCCACCGAAGACCCGCGAAGCGAGTGAAGGTCCCGCCGCCGAAGTACTGCCGAAGACCTGGAGCGCCGCTCCGTCAGTAAAAGTGCCACAGCCGGTGGCACTTTTTTTTTTTCCGCTCCCCCTGTTCCCTCCACTTGGCTACGCCCCTGACCTGTAGTCCTGACTTGCTCCCTTCCTATTCCTGATTGCCTGTTTCATGATGTCTATAGCAGAACCTGAGGGTTCTTTATGGGCTGCAAATTGCTGCACGTTAAGCATATGTCCAGAGAAGTGTGACAAAAATGATTAAAGGTCTAGAAAACATGACCTATTAGGGAAGATTGAAAAAATTGGGTTTGTTTCGTCTGGAAAAGAGAAGACTGAGAGGGGACATGATAACAGTTTTCAAGTACATAAAGGGTTGTTACAAGAAGGAAGGAGAATTTTTTTTTCTTAACCTCTGAGGATAGGACAAGAAGCAATGGGCTAAAATTGCTGCAAGGGAGATCTAGGTTGGACATTAGGAAAAGCTTCCTAACCGTCAGTGGTTAAGCACTGAAATAAATTGCCTAGTGAGGTTGTGGAATCTCCATCATTGGAGATTTTTAAGAGCAGGTTAGTCTAACACCTGTCAGGGATGGTCTACATAATACTTAGTCCTGCCTTGAGTGCAGGGGACTGGACTAGATGACCTCTCGAGGTCCCTTCCAGTCCTATGATTCTATGATTTCTCCTGTGTAGCTCTTCCCGAGGATGAGAAATGCGAGCTGCCTGAAAATGAAGCCGGGATTGTTTGGGACGCGATAAGTTTCACTTTCTTGCTGGTCCAGCGGAGAGTCTTTATGAGCTATTACTTCCTCTACATAGTGGCAGATCTGAAGGCTGCCAAGATCTTAGCTTCCAGGTACATGCACTGGATGTAACAAGTTTAAACCAATAGTCCTCAGTGATGCAGAGAGGAGTTGGAGACCCCCTCTTCTCTGTAAAGAAATCTGGTCTCTCTGGGATTTGGATTTCTGGGGAGAGTGATGGGGAGCCTCGCAAGGTTTGTGTTCCAAAAACAAGGGATCCAGTCAGACAGTTATTATTACTTGCTGAGCACTGGTAATGTGCTCTGTGCTGTAAAAGTAAACAAGACATGGCGCCTGCCCCAAGAAGCTTACAACCCGACTCGGGCCTCTATAGTGCCTTGGGTGATGATGCAAACTCAAGGTGGGGCAGAAAGCTTGCAAAGGTTTCATGTCAGGAGTGTGACTTAAGGAGGCAGATGCTTTAAGTGCTTGAGGCTCCATTGCAATGATCATGCCTTAGCAAACTGGTCAGTGAGGCAACAGTTGAGGATGAGCTTATGGTAAGCCTGGCTTTAGATCCTAACTTTCATGACCACATACTTCACACAATGGGCAGGGTGGGGAAGATAGACCTTTTGTGACAGTTATAGCATTCATGTGTAGTTCTGAGGATTTCAGTGGAAATCCTGAAGGGTCTGACAAGCAGATTGCCATGTGTTTAGGAGCTATGTTTGGACAGTACCAGAAAGTGGCAGAGACAGAAAATATGGCATGTGCCATAAAAAAATGTTACCTAGAATAAATAATGTGCAACTCTGAACTGGGTGGTTATAATTCCATTGGGAAGTTCGTGGGACACCGTAGTCCATGAAAGAGAAACTTCTTGAGGTGAAGAGGATTCCCTGTATCCTTTCTACATTCCTATCCCACTTCAAGTTTCTCTCTCGTTGTCCCTTATCCATTATCTATATCCGCTTGTCTGTTTCTGCACTTATATTACACCCCTTACTATGGTATTTAATATCTATCAAGCCCTCTCTCTGTTCAAATTGCTACTGGAATGATTTACTCTGAATCATCCATCTCACTGCCAGAGTGACTCTTCACTGAAATCTTCTGAAACTGCTGTTTTTATTGGTGGAATCAGAGGTCTGATGTCAATCTCTTTTTTACCGGAACCCACCAATCAGAGCCCGGAGAATGATGTAATTGTTGTCGATTACCTTAATCCACCAATAAGAACTGGGACAGAAGTGTCACTCCAGTGATTTACCAGGTTGATAATGCTCTGGTTAGCTGGGTATATTTAACGTGGTCTACCTCTTTGTGGTGTGAAGATAGTTGCATGCTACCCAGTGAAGTGTTTATCGAATGATCTGGCTTGTTTCACACACGCAGAGGAGCTGAACTGTTTGAAGTGAAGCTGAAAAAAGTTGTGGCGCTCAGATTGGAGGAAGAGAAAAAATCACTGCAAGCCATGAGAAGACAGTAAGTTTGCTGTTCATTTAAAATCACATACTACTTATACACCACATATCTAACTGGTGAATACAGGGATGTGTCACCTTTTCACTTCTCTCTGTATTCAGGATATTATATTTTCCATCCTCTGATTCCCCCTCTCCCACTCTTTTTAGTGACTCATAACTCAAACCCTTTCCCACCACTAGGAGGAAGAGTTAGGGATAATGCTACAATCAACAACAACAATGGCAATCAAATGAAAATAGTTATTGATGAGCTTCAAATGGAGGGGCTCAGATTACAGACTCAGTGCCCAACACACAGTAACAACTCCCTGTCCTTATTCTTCTGTGGGATTTTAGGATCCTGACAGAGAGAGTTCTAGGGGAGTTTTGGACTCTCGACTGCAAGACCAGAAAGCTAGTGACTCCCCTCCATGGTTGATACTACAGAGGAATTTTAACACAGGACAGCTGTTTGGCTGGTACAAGATCCCTTGTGCTGGACGACAATCAGCTGTTCTGTCCCATGGAATTTTAGGCTTTTCACTCTTTGGGAACAAATTGCTAATAGGATCAATGATGGTATCCAATCAGAATGATTGTCTACATTAGGGCTTTAGCCAGTGGTGTAGCTACACTGGTACAAACCAGACCATACTGCACTGGGGTAAACTGGGGCTGGCACTAGTACAATGCATCCCAATTTGAAACCTGGGTAAGTGGCATTGGTACAAATCCCCATTAACTCATCGCATCTACAAAAGGGACTGGCACCGGTACAACTATACCAGTGCAGCTATAACAGTGGCTAAAGCCCTGTTGTACACAAGGCTTTATTAAAGAGTCCCTCACTGGAGATGCCCCCATTCAGACAAAGAAAAATCAACCTAGAGACGTATTAAACTTCTCTTGAAGACTGAAAGGATGTGTTAAATGGGGACCTGCACTGTGCCTATAACCATTGGCCCCACAGAGGTGATAAATCTGATTGTACAGTGTCAATTCCCAGGTGCTACATGATTACTGACATGGTATAGGCGACAGCACTGTAAGAAACAATATCATCTACCTGGCGCTGTCAGCACTGGAATAATGAGACCCACATTCCATCGTGCAGTGGGGACTGGATGAAACCTCGATTACTCGTTAGATAAGCAAAGCTTGATCAAACATTTCATGTCATCTGCTGCAGAATTTCACAGATGTTTCCTTGCAAAACTCTTAAGCAAAATGCCAAACATTTCCTCACCACATGCAAAGTTGGCCAAAAGCCAAACATCGGCGGAGTTTATTTTGGGTTGGCCTATAGTATTACATGCATATATCAAACTGCTTCCTGTTTTGAATAGCAGATCTTGGAATGGATAGCTTCCAAATCTTAGCCAAGTCCAAAGTAAGCTGTGCTCAGTAAAAAAAAAAAAATAATACTAGCAACAGTATACATAGTCAGATGAATAATTATGTTTTTATTATTTCCTGGCTGGCTAGCTTGCATGTGTTCTTATGGAGGTAGCCAGCCTTCTCAGAGACATATGCTGAGCCCATTCTGGCCAAAGGGTATGAAAGTCTCTGTTATTATCACAACCCTCATATCTTAGCTGTCAAAGGAGTGCTCCTCAACATCTGTATTCAGAGCTGAAGCCAATTCACACTGAAGTCCATGCAAAGATTCCCCTTGACTTCAGTGGGCTTTGGATTAGCCCTGTTAGAATGTTAATATTCCCGAGTTAATTTAAGCCCAATGAAGATACAAGGCCTCCTGTTTTAGTATCAGTTATAATATTTTAGATAGATATATGCGCTAGGGCTAGTGGTAGTGCTTGTGATAAAAGCTTCAGAAAGGAGCGTATTGGTGACACTTCGGGTGTTAGGAGGAGATGGGGAATGAGATTGAAAGAGAGAGAGAGAGAAAGAAAAAGAAGTGTTTAGTTTGGGTACAGGACTGGGAGCCAAAAACTCCTGAGATCCAGACCCAGCTCTGACAAGGCCTCTGCTCCATCTGTGTCGTTGGACAAATTGTTTCCACATTTACCAGCTGGTGCTAGTAACTAGGGCTGTTCCAAATGTTTCTGTCAAAACTTTTTTTTGATGAAAAATTGGGTTTTTGAGAGAACACAGTATGTAGAAAGTGTGGGTTTCCTTGAAAATTTTTTACTTTCTTCAAAAAACCAAATCCCAAACATTTTAAGCTGAAAACAAAATGTTTGGATTTTGGTAGTTTTTGGCCAAAAATGTTCTTTTTTTTTTTGACAAAAAGTCAAAATTTTACATGAGGGGAAAAATCCATTTTCTGATCACCTCTATTACTAATACTATGTTGGGGATAACAACGACCAAGTTGAGGCTCATACGTAATGGGGATATTTTTGAGGATCACTATGTAATGTTTGTAAGGCACTCTGAAGTGAAGACAGAAAGCACCTACTTATCTAAATGCTAGTGATTTTTATACTCCTGTCTGTGTTCGGTCTTAAACCTACAGAATGGAACTAATCAAATTGAAGCAGAAGAAACTTGACAGTTTGAAGCAAAAGACACCAAGCCCAGAAGAAACAGCTGTGGATCAATCTGCCAAAGAGCAGCAGCTGCTAGATCCAGGTGAAATGACCGTGTCACGTTAAATAGCCTGTGTAGTGACAACAACATGGAGAGTGATCACTGTGCCTGCCCTTCTGCTTTCCGTTTTCGCACGGCTGTGTTCCACAGTACCCAGTAAATTGCCTTGTCACAACCCCAGTGCCGCTGAGGGTGAAATTCACATTCAGCCTTCACATCCAAAGCCAAAGTAATTGGGCTTTGTTCAGGCCTTGTCTGTAGGATGAATTTAATCCCTGAAACCCACAGTTAGGCCACTGGTCTTTGATATAAACTCCCTCTGCTGCTCATCATGATGGAGGGTCTAGGCAGTGGAATCCTGGGATATGAGTTCCAGGGCACACAAAGAATGAAGAGATCTACCTGTACATAGAGCCAACCCACAGGCTCCAATGCAGCCCCCCAGCCTTGTGCATTGAGAAATTTAATTCTTTTAAGTTGTGGAGAGGGAGGGGGAAATCTGTCTATTTGTTTCACTACGTACATTTTACAACCACCTTTGCAGAGGAGGGTGGCAAGAAGGAAAACGAGGACAAGAAGATATGGTGGCAACCCTGGGTGACCCACGCCTCCAGTAAGTTTTCTGTGTACGCTAAAGGTCTGTGAGCCACAACTAACTGGAAAAAATGACATGTATAAGTTAGGGCAATGTAGCCTGCTAGAAACAGTGTCTTTGCACACAGTTGCTGGGATTATACACAACAAGAACCTGCAGAAACTTTCTGTTTTGTTGGATGGTTGCGTTTTAGCCCTACATTCCAACCCCTCTCTCCCCCCGCCCCAAAAAACACCAAAAACCAAAAACACAAGCATGGGGCTTCCATTGAATACTGCAAACAGATGTGGTCTCCTCATCCCCCCAAAAATATACTGGCACTAGAAAAGATTCAGAGAAGGGCAACTAAAATGATTAAGGGTTTGGAACAGGTCCCATATGAGGAGAGATTAAAGAGGCTAGGACTTTTCAGCTTGGAAAAGAGGAGACTAAGGGGGGATATGATAGAGGTATATAAAATCATGAGTGCTGTGGAGAAAGTAGATAAGGAAAAGTTATTTATTTATTCCCATAATACAAGAACTAGGGGCCACCAAATGAAATTAATGGGTAGCAGGTTTAAAACAAATAAAAGGAAGTTCTTCTTCACACAGCGCACAGTCAACTTGTGGAACTCCTTGCCGGAGGAGGTTGTGAAGGCTAGGACTATAACAGCGTTTAAAAGAGAACTGGATAAATTCATGGAGGTTAAGTCCATTAATGGCTATTAGTCAGGATGGGTAAGGAATGGTGTCCCTAGCCTCTGTTTGTCAGAGGGTGGAGATGGATGGCAGGAGAGAGATCACTTGATCATTACCTGTTAGGTTCACTCTCTCTGGGGCACCTGGCATTGGCCACTGTCGGCAGACAGGATACTGGGCTAGATGGACCTTTGGTCTGACCCAGTACGGCCATTCTTATGTTCTTATGTAGAAGTCAATGGGAGTTTTGCCATTAACTCCAGTGGGAGCAGGCCTATGATTCTGCTGTAAACCTAAGGCCAGATTCTGCTGTTGGCAGCAGTCCGTCCCCTACTGCACACACAGCAGGCTGGCAGGAAAAAGGAAACATCATGGGGGGGACCCATAGAGGACAATTGTCATCATTTAATTTGGGGACAGCTGACAATTACATGATTTATAAAACACATTTCTAATGCAACCAAACTGTTCTTCAATAGCTGTCCTAACAGTCACCCCTATATAGGAAGGATGGTGTGTGTATCTTAGCAAAAACTATACAATTTGTCTACTCTGTCCCTTCCAAGCCCTCTCCGAGCACTACATATTTCAGTGCTGTTGAAATGTGGTTTTCTCTCCCAATGTCCCCTATTTATAGCCTAAGGGCTGCTCTAAAGTATATTAAGCATAAAGATACTAATCAAGAGAGTGAAAAATAGTAACAGTAAAAATACTCGCATGTGCCACTCTGCTAGTTAATATTTACTAAAACGTGTCCTGTTAAAACAGCTAGACTAGGATTTTCAAAGCCACGTAGATAGGCAGCTCCTATTTAGATGTGCAACTCCTATTGATTTCAAAGAGAATTGTGCATCTAAATCCCCTAGGTAGCTCTGAAAAAACTCAGCCACATCTCTTTCTGGAACTGATTTTAGTGATTCGAGCTGGGAGCTACTACCTCTTTGAGACAGACAGTGAGGAAGAAGAGGAACAAGGGCACACAGAAAAGAGGGAGGAAGAATCATCGAAGAAGAAAACAGCATTCCAGGTGCAGGACTTATTTTTGATAACATTAAGCAGTGTTGCCTAGTGGATAGAGCACTGGATTGGGACTCAGGAGATTTGGGTTCGATTTCCAACTCTGCCACTGGATTGCTGTGTGACCTTGAACAAGTCACCCGATTTCCCGGTGTCTCAGTTTCACCTTCTGTAAAATGGCAATGATGATGCTTATGTCTTTTGTAAAATGCTTTGAGACTTACGGGTGAAAAGAGTGAGCTAGAGATTTACTGGAAACCAAAATGTTTTCCCAACGTTGCTTTTCCATATAAGCAATTGCTGTTGTTACTGGGGGGACATTAGGTGACTGTAAAGGGAAGCGGAGGGTGTCAGTGAATTCCCAGTGGGAGGGAAAGGGGTCTGTAGAACCATGAATGGGAGGAGAGGAAAGGGGGGCCATGTGAATGGAAGTGGGAGTGGGGGACACACCACATATTTGATCCACTCTATTAAAAAGTTTGGGAAGCCCCAGCATCCTGGAGTACATCAAACGAAACACAGCTTAGGCTTGATCAGCCGGATGGAAGCACCAAAGACTAATGGGGTTTCTCCATGCAGCTTGTGTATGAAGCCTGGATGTCTAGCTCTAAATCAGCTCTGAGAACAAGAAAACAAGATGAAACCAGAGAGCAGAGGAAGAAAGAGGAGGAGGAGCAGCAGCGACTGGCAGGTAATGGGAAGAATGCACCGACACCTGCGCAAAGGGGCTGCTTGGCCAAATTAGACAAAAAAAGAACTGTTTGAATGAGAGAGGCTGTAATTCCTACAGCAAGAATCAACTAACACAATGTTAAGGGTACTCATTTACATGTGGCCAGGTCAGGAAATGCTGACACCGGCTTTAATTACCATCCATATCGCCTGCCCCCAACACGTCCCACATGCTGGATGAAGACTTCCCTTTTCCATAGCCACAATGCCCTTAACTCTGCCCCACATACATGTGCATTTCAATACAGTGTCTTGTTATCTGATTATGTAACCTTCAGCTGGAGTCATAGTCCCATTGATTTCACTGGGCATTGGGCTGGGCTCATAATTCCTGAATAGCTGGAAAGATGTCTAGGCGAAGTTTATCTCCTCTATAGCTCTGCTTATGTTTCTGTATGATACAGGGGAGGTAAAGTTGGAATTCCATGAAGAGAAAGGGGAGATATCAGTCACTGAAGAGAACCTAGATGAGTCAGGTGAGTAACTCCATACGGTAGCAGCAAACCAGAAGCCCTTGCTCAGATGATTTAATAGACTTTAAGACCATAAGGGACCATCATGATCTAGTGTGACCTTCTGCACATTCCAGGCCATAGAACCTCAACCACCCACTCCTGTAATAGATCCAAAGCCTCTGGCTGAGTCATTGAAGTCTCAAGATTTGAAGACTTCAGGTTACAGCAAATCCACCATTTACTCTAGTTCAAACCAGCAAGTGACCTGAGCCCACACTGCAGAGGAAGGCAAAAAAACAACAACAACCCAAGTTCTCTGCCAGTCTGACAATTCCTTCCCATCCCCCAAAATGCTGATCAGTTAGACCCTGAACATGTGGGCGAGACCCACTAGCCAGAAACCCGTGAAAGAATTCTCTGTAGTAACTTAGAGCCCTCCCCATCCAGTGTCCCATCTCTGGCTGTGGAGATATTTGCTACCAGCAGATGTGGGATGGGCCATATGCCCATCATATCATCCCCTCCATAAACGTATCAAGCTCAGTTTATTTCCCTCATTACTCCCCTGGGAGGGCTGATCCAGAACTTCATTCCTCTGATGGTTAGAAACCTTTATCTAATTTCAAGTCTAAATTTATGGATGGCCAGTTAATATCCATTTGTTCTTGTGCCAACATTGGCCCTTTATTTAAAGAACTCCTCTCCATCCCTGGTGTTTATCCCTCTGCTGTATTCATAGAGAACAATCATATCTCCTGTCAGCCTTCATTTTGTTAGGCTAATCAAGCCAAGCTCCTTAAGGAGGGGTTGCAAGTGCTTTGGAGGATAGGATTGTAATTCAAAATTATGTAGACAAACTGGAGAAATGGTCTGAAGTAAATAGGATGAAATTCAATAAGGATAAATGCAAAGTACTCCATTTAGGAAGGAACAATCAGTTGCACACATACAAAATGGCAAATGACTGCCTAGGAAGGTGTACTGCGGAAAGGGATCTAAATATGCTAAATATGAGTCAACAATGTACCGCTGTTGCAAAAAAAGCAAACATCATTCTGGGATATACTAGCAGGAGTCTTGTAAGCAAGACATGAGAAGTAATTACTCTACTCTGCCCTGATTAGGCCTCAACTGGAGTATTGTGTCCAGTTCTGGCACCATATTTCAAGAAAGATGTGGACAAATTGGAGAAAGTCCAGAGAAGAGCAACAAAAATGATTAAAGATCTAGAAAACATGACCTATGAGGGAAGATTGGAAAAATTGGGTTTGTTTCGTCTGGAAAAGAGAAGACTGAGAGGGGACATGATAATAGTTTTCAAGTACATAAAAGGTTGTTACAAGGAGGAGGGAGAAAAATTGTTCTTCTCAACCTCTGAGGATAGGACAAGAAGCAATGGGCTTAAATTGCAGGAAGGGAGGTTTAGGTTGGACATTAGGAAAAGCTTCCTAACTGTCAGAGTGGTTAAGCACTGGAATAAATTGCCTAGGGAGGTTATGGAATCTCCGTCATTGGAAATTTTTAAGAGCAAGATGGACAAACACCTGTCAGGGATGATCTAGATACTACTTAGTCCTGTCATGAGTGCAGGGGACTGGACTAGATGACCTCTCGAGGTCCCTTCTAGTCCTATGATTCTAAGTCCCCTCTTGTAAAGTAGGTTCTCCACTCTCTGACCATCCTAGTAGCCCTTCTCTGCACCTGTTCCAGTTTGAATTAATCTTTCTTAAACATAGGAAACCAGAATGCCACACAGTATTCCAGATGAGGTCTCATCAGTGCCTTGTATAATGGTACTCACACTTCCCTATCTCTAGTGGAAATACCTTGCCTAATGCATCCTACGATTGCATTAGCCTTTTTCATGGCTGCATCATATTGGTGGCTCATAGTCATCCTGTGATCAACCAATACATCCAGGTCTTTCTCCGCCTTTGTCACTTCCAACTGATATGTCCCCATTTTATAGGGATTAACAAGAATTTTTCTTAAGTGCATGACCTGACACTTTACACTATTAAATTTCATCCCATTTCTATTACTCCCGTTTTCAAGGTCATTCAAATCTTAATGTATGATATTCTGGTCCACCTCCGTATTGGCAATACCCACTTCAGTAAGATGGATCAGGCTTGGATGGGAATAAAGATGACCTAAACTGACCTTTGAAATCCTTTATCACAGTATCTCAGCCACTGCTGAGGAGCTGGTTGAAATAGAATAGTGTGTAGAACCATTTCCTGTTTGTAACTGTACATGTTTTTTTCCCCTTTTGACAGAAAATATAATTGAAAGAATAATCAACACAATCAAGTTTACTTGGGTTTTTGTTCAAGCATTGCTAGATGATACTACAGAAGCACTAAACTCACTTTGTAAAAATAACCTGGACATAGCAAACGTACTGAGAATTGAAAGGTACATGCTATGGCGAGAAACTAATAAGGTAAGATCACTGTCATTTTACACAATGTCCTGGGTTTTTTTTGTTTATGTAACAGGACGTCTGACTATATTAAACTGTAACAAGCTGGAAATTCTGGGCTCTGTCCTGAAATCTTTATATACACAAAATTCCCATTGAATTAGATGTGCATAAAAATGCCCCATTGAGCACAAGCACAAGATAGAAGTGTCTTGAAAAGAGAAAAGTCACAGAAAATTTTCATTGGTCACTTCAATTTCAGTCCAAGACTCCATTTCAAGTCACTTTTAATTTCCTTTTTCATTTTCAAAATATAATTTCCAGGTTTTTTATTGACGTTTTCCAACCAGTTTCTCTGATTATTTATGCATTACAATAGCAACTAGAAATATGCTTTATTCATGTTTATTTGTGGACCAATCTTTCTGCATTAGGCCGTGTTCTGAAACCCATTGTTACTCCCCTTAAAGAGATGATGTCAGTATAAATTCTGAACCCTGCTTACATCACTGAACAAAAGTATTCCAGATGCCTGAAAGATTGACTTGCAAGGAAAGATTAAAAGAGTGAATATTTAGAGCTGGTTAAACAATTTTCATTGAAAATATTTTCCAATGAAAAATGGCTTTTTGGCTAAATGGGAACTTTCATGAAAAAAAATCCTGTTGTAAAAAAAATTGGGGTTTTCTTTTAAAAAATAAAACGGGGTGTTTTTTAGTTTTCAGCAATAAAAACAACATATTGAAAAAAAATGTAAACATTTTTTGTTTTTTCAACAAGAACCAGGAAAATTTTTGAAGAAATTTTTTGATGAAACTGAAAATCTTTTGTTTTCTTCTAAATTTTTCATGGAGAAAAACCCCAATAATTTAATAGGAACATAGGAATTGGTGTATTGCAGCGGTTCTCAAACTGTGGGTCGGGATCCCAAAGTGGGTCACGACCCTGTTTTAATGGGGTCGCCAGAGCTGAAGCCCGAGTCCAACGGCCTGGGGTCAAAGCCTGAGGGCTTCTGCCCGGGGTGGAGGGGCTCAGGTTACAGGCCCCCCGCCTGGGGCTGAACCACTTGGGCTTGGGCACCCCCCCACCCAGGGCAGTGGGGCTTGGGCTTTGGCCTGCCCTGCCCGGGGCAATGGGGCTCGGGTGGGCTCAGGCTTCGGTCCCCCCTTCGGGGGTCGTGTAGTAATTTTCGTTGTCAGAAGGGGGTCGCAGTGCAATGAAGTTTGAGAACCCCTGGTGTATTGGATCAGAACCAAGGTGCAGTTAGTCCAGTGTCCTGTCTCTGGCAGTGGCCAGCACCAGATTCTTCAGAAGAAGATGTAAGAAACTCCACAGTAGGGAGAAAGGGGTCTCCTCTTGGTCTCTAATAGACATTGGCTTAAATCACAAAACATGAGATTTAATATTCCTTTCAAAATCTGTGCCATTATTAATTATGATAATGCTGGATATTCTTGAGATCCATATAAATGTCCATTCCCACATGTTTCTACGAACTATGTTTAGTGATGACTAAGAGCTGTCATGCTTATATTCTGAAAGGCATTAACAGCAAGGAAGGGAACGTCTTATTTAGCGTGGGACACAAGGATATAAAATGAGCACCAGCCATCTGTTTTAAAGGTGGGAATTCCCCATGGGACTGTAGCGGTCTCAAAGGGTAGTATGGGATTACAATAGCTTCCTTTGACAGAAATGAGGACAGCATTTTTACCATCTGACTGATTTTGGATTAATTTTTTAAGGGAAAAGAAGCCTCACCAGACACAATTCTCCAATATTACAACCTGAAGAAGAGTCAGCAAGTGCAAGCAAGTCTTTATGGGGGAAATAAAATGAAAGGCACACAGGAGGATCAGCATGAAGACACATTAGAGTGCCAGCAGATACCCACGAGGGGAACCCAGCTACCGCACGAGAGCAGTGCATCCAGGTGAATAGACAGTGGGGACATTATCCTTGTCAGAACTTCTCATAAGAGCTGTGCAAACCTGTAGTAAGGTAATGTGCAACTAGGTAATATTTGCTGAGTTTGTTACAAATCTAAGGTGTTTATCTGCCCTCCCCCCTCCCCCGCCACAAGCCATAGTATCTGAGCAGCTAACAATCCTTTAATGTATGTATCCTCAACTCCCTGGAAGGTGCTGTTATCCCCATTCTACAGCTGGGAACTGAGGCACAGGGAGGCTAAATGATGTGCCCAAGGTCACACAGGAAGTCTGTGGCAGAGCAGGGACTTGAAGGCAAGTTTCCTAAACCCTAGGTTAGTGCTCTGATCATTGAACCATCCTTCCTCTCAAGCCTCCAAGCCTGAGTTATGGAGTGAACCTGGTCCCAGTTCAGAGTGAATCTGGGATAACTGATGGTTTGAGTGGAAGCTGGGTGAAGCTTGGCAGCTCTGCTTTGCTTCACTTTGAGATTTTTAAATTCATTTGAGCTCAAAGCAAAAAACAAAACAAAACAGGAGTAATCCCAAGAGAGGGGTAGCAGTGTCATCAGTTAGCAGCACCTGGAGTCAACCAATGAATGGTTACAGTGAGATGGCATGCAGCAAAACTCGGAACTGGTAGGTAAGGTCCCAGGAAGAAAATCTAAGGGAAAAAAGGAGGTCAGGAGAACTGGTGGTTTCTCAAGGGTACAATATGAAAGGCAGAACTGCATGCTATCCTGACACAAAGGAAAGACAGGAAGAATAGTAGTAAGAGGCCAATATGGCTCCATCAGGAGCTCTTTAATGACTGGAAAATCAAAAAGGACTCCTAAAAAAAAGTGGAATCCTGGACAAATTTCTAAGGAGGAGTACAAATGAATAGCACAAGCATGTAAGGGCAAAATCAGAATGGGTAAGGCACACAATGAGTTACACTTAGCAAGGGACATAAAAAGCAGTAAGAAGAGGTTCTTCAAATACATTTAGGAGCAAGAGAAAGATGAAGGAAAGTCTGCTTAGCAGGGAAGGAGGGCTAATAACTGATGACATAAAAAGAAAGCTGAGATGTTTAATGCCTAGTGGATCACACATTGAATATAAGTTAACGATGTGATGCAGCTGTGAAGAAGACTAATATCATTGAGGGATGTTTTAGCAGGAGTGTCATATATAAGACATGGTAGGTATTTGTCCTGCTCTACTTGACACTGGTAAAGTCTCAGCTAGAAAGCTGTGTCCAATTCTGGGTGCCACACTTTAGGAAAGATGGGAACAAATTGGAGAGAATCTAGAGGAGAGCAACAAACGTTTAGAAAACCTGACTTATAAGGAATGGTTAAAAAAAATGGGCATGTTTAGTCTTGAGAAAAGATGACTGAGGAAGGATCTGATAACAGTCTTCAACTGTGTTAAGGGTGGTTATAAAGAGGATGGTGATCAATTGTTCTCCATGTCCACTGAAGGTGGGACAAGAAGTAATGAGCTTAATCTGCAGCAAGGGAGATTTAGGTTAGATATTAGGAAAAACTTTCTAACGATAAGGATAGTTAAGCTCTGGAATAGGTTTCCATGGGAGGTTGTGGAATCCATATCACTGGAGGTTTTTCAGAACAGATTGGACAAACACCTGTCAGGGATAGTCTAGGTTTACTTGGTCCTCTACAGAGCAGGGGTTCTTGACATGGTGACTTCTCGAATCCCTTCCAGACCAATATTTCTAGGATTCTATGAAAAATAGCCCCTAAGGAGTGGCTACAGGGAGGTCAGTTAGCAGCAGCTAAACTCAGGGGAATGATTACAGTGGAATTAGCTGGCATGCAGCTGGAGTAACCCATGTGTAATATTGCAGAGAGATCAAAAGCATGCAGCTCATGCAAGGACTGCTGTGAGGCTGGTTAGCCTGCAACTAGTGTGATGCAACATGAAATATTTTGAATACTTTAAAAGAACAAGCTTGTATGGAAATAACATTAAATTCTGTGTGAATCCTTTCTAATCGCTGTCACTGTGACCTTAGATGTTGGAATTCTTAGCTGGATTCTGATTTTTTGGTGAGTGAGCCCCTTCTCGCTTTGGCATGAGCCAGGAGGTTTCATATGAGTACAATTATTTCAACGTCTATTAAGAAACTTAATTTGTGATTTTCAGTAATTTTTTTTTTAAAAAGAAACTCATTCTGAATCTAGGACATCTGATGAAGTTGCTGAGGAAATTAATGGAGATGAGGCAGGAGAGAAGATGGAAGATGAAGACAGTGTCAAAGAAGCTGCCCCAGAAATGACCACTCCACTTCCTTCCTGTGAAACAAAAGATTATGCTGTTTCCCCAACAGCTGAGAGGAGCAAAGAAGCAGGCAGGCCATTAAATGAAGTTCCTGTTATCATGACTGCCAGTGAGCTGCTTCTGAACAGGCAAGAAAGACCTAAAGTCAAAGCCAGCTGCAGAGATACCCACAATGTGTTCGTGGAATGATGATGTGCCTTAAACAGCCTGGCATCACTTCATTGTTTCTAGTTTTTTCACTTGCACAAGCTGACATTGGATGTTGTGTTTCATGTCAGACTAAAAAGAGACTTTATGGAGCAGATGCTCAGCTGGCGTAAGTCAGTGTAGCTCCAATTGCCAGTTTTCACCAGCTGGGGGATATGGAACTATGGATTATATTCTTCATGAGACTAATACTACTACAGGGTCCAACTGGTCAAAAATTTTCAAAGTCCCCCACCCTCCCATGGCTTTTTTTTTCCAAAATGAAACTTTTCATACAAATTTGTTGAAATTCTCATTTTTCGCAATTTTTTCCCATGATTTTTACTGAATTTTTTACCAAAATAGATTTTTTTTGCTTACCACAAACTGTTATTTATTGAAAATGGTGGTTGTGGTAAATGAAAAAATATTTAAAACACAAATTAAAATGTCAGTAAAAAAAACAACCCACCGCCACAGAACATTTCAGGCCCAGTTGAACCCTATGAGATGGAAACAACTCCGAAATTTCAAAAATGTCACAAAGGTGCTTTTTTGTTGTTGTTTTGTCCTCACTCCCCCCGACCAGCTCTACTATTAGGGTTAGATTTAAAGAACTGTGCCGACACATACGTTCATACGAGCACTACGGTCGTCATGCACTAATGCTACTGAATTGGTAAATTAAGGGCTAAGGTCAACAAAAATGGAGAGTACTCAGCAGCACCTCCAGGAGTTACTTTGTACTTGGAGGTTTAAATGTGCAAACACACCCGTGTTTTGTGGGGGCCGTTCAGAATGAGAGGTGGGGGGACTATGAGTGTATGTGAGTTAGATCACTAACAGCTTTCACAGAAGATCTGGTTGACAAACTATCACAGCTTTAGGCATGCAGTTCTGAAGAGATTATATTATGCCATACATCTGGTCTCATTTATATAACCTTCTGTATTAAAAATACTAGCTTGTAGCCTTGCACCAATTCTGTGAGGAAATATAATTCATCTATTTTTATATATTTTTTTTGTTCTGTGGTTCAGGATGTTTCATGACAATGAACTGGAGCAGTCAGACAAGTTTTACCAGAGTCTGCCTCGATCCCTGAAGTTGGGCTTTGCTTTGTACAATGCGATGGTATCCAAGTCAGAAATGCTCTGTTATTTTGTGATCATTCTCAACCACATGGTCTCTGCGTCAGTCCTCACTTTGGTTCTGCCTATCCTTATATTTCTGTGGGCCATGTTATCCATTCCAAGGCCTACTAAATTCTTCTGGATGATGGCTATCGTTTATACAGAGGTATGCAACAGCCAGAAAATTGCCTTGCTGCAGACATGTGTCTCTCTGCAAACAAGTACTATTCTTTTTCTTTACATTAAAGTGCAATAAACTTCTGTTAGAATTGAGGTTAATGGGGTAGACTAGAGAGCGGATGTGACTAAAGGACGTTGGTAGGTCTGAAGGTAGCTCACGAACTGCAGGTAATTTATTGAACATAAAACCAGAAATAAACAAAATTAGAGAACATCGATACGTGATGAAACGCCACTGGATCCCAAAGCAAGGCTAGCTCTCCAGAATCTCAAGCCAGCAGAAATGCTGGTTGGAATCTTTCCCTGTATTTGGAAGATCTAGAAACTCTTCTGAAAATGTTTAAGGCTAGCTGTTGCCCTGCCAGGCCATGTCTTCCAACTAATTTTGTATTTTTTTTCTCTTTAGATAACAGTAGTTGTCAAATATTTTGCTCAGTTTGGATTCTTTCCCTGGACCACTAAGTTATACTGCGGCATCAATGCAGAAGAGCCATTTGTTCTGCCAAACATTGTCGGGATTGAGAAGAAGGATGGCTATGTGCATTTTGATCTTGTGCAGCTGCTGGCTTTGTTCTTTCACAGGTCTATCTTGAAGGTAAGTTGTTCTTGAAGAGAAGGAGAAGGAGAAGAAATGGCTAATTTCTTAGACCTCTGCTGAATGTTTGCAGAGAAAAACTGAAACTCTGCTAAACTTGCCAGATCTTCATTTCTGTTATGAATTCAAAACTCATCCCATCCTTTGAGGGCAGGGACTCAGACTCCAAACCCAGGTTTGGATTTAAATTTAGCATTTGGTCCTCAACTCCAACAAAATCCCAGATTTGAACACTTATGGGCCCAATTCTTTACAAATAAATGCCATTTGCTTTAATGTGAGATACTCACGTGCTGTGATGGGAGATTAGAGTCCTTGGGGTGAAATCCTAGCCCGCTAAAGTCAATAAGAGGTTTGCCCCTGGATTTTAGAGGCTTTGAAGTGTGGATTCAAATTTGGGGACTTGTGCCCATTCCCTACCGATCATGAAACCAACCTTTCATCTCAAGTGTAAACTCACCGTTTCTCTCTCCCCCATTCTGTGCCTGCCTCTGTCTCCACCTGTAGAGTAATTCATGGTTACTGCGAATTAAAGATGCTGTGCTGAGGACACAGTGTATCAAACTGTATTAATCATTCTTTAAATGTTCCCATTAGTGCCATGGACTATGGGATTCCAAAGGCGTCAATGTGTCTGATACCAAGAAAAGGAGATGTTCTAAGAGTCCAAAGAACCAGGAGTCCAGAGGAGGTCTGCAGGAAGATGAGCCTGGATCGGGGGCATGGCACCTTTTTAGACATCACAATCCCTCAGGGAGCATCTTCAGAGGAAGGAAGACAGCCTCCGTTAACAGAGGTAGTCAGAGTCACACTGAGCTAGCTTTAGACACTAAGGGGGCTTTCATTTTAAAATTCAGGTGGAGAAAATACAAGGAGACAAATTTTCTCTGGATGCACCTGAAAATAGGGAGATTGTGCCTAGATTGTTGTAGTCTCTACCCATCCATACTAGAGTATTACTTTGATTTTTTTTCCTAATGTGTCCATTAGCATGGTATATAGATGCCAAATAATTCCTTCTGAGTAACTTAGTGTATTTGCTAGCCCAAGAAACTATATTCATAGGGCCTTCTCAAACATTGATTTCTTGCAAGATAACCCTACTGGCTGAATTAGTGCCTTATTGGAACACCTAAGGTTAAACAGAATTGTAAACCTTTGTGACAAAATTAGGACATGGCTGTTAAGAAAAGAATGGCCCCCAGACAAAACTGTGATTTGTCTTCTCTTTTGTAGGCAAGACTCAGAAGAAGGAAGCCAGGAAGAAATGGAAGCTTTTTAGAAAGAGTCCCATCAGCAAGAAGAAACTTCTTAAGCAAAAGATGAAACAACTGATATTGAAAGCAAAGAAGCTGGTGATTAAAATGTAATTGGGGTATTATTTGTAACATCGCTTAAGAAAATGAGACATTGTTGGTCTTCAGTTCAGTAGAGTAATTATAATTCCAGTTTTTATGGGTCTTCTATGGAAGACGTGCACTGGATACATTCATCTGATCATTCTGAGGATGCATTGTTACAATTTCCATTGAACTAGATTATACTTGTTTTTACCCCTAGTGCCCTTCAAATCTATCGACCTATCAGGCAGTTCTTCTACGACATTATTCATCCGGAGTACAGCCCTGTCTGTGACGTCTATGCACTGATGTTCCTGGTTGACGTGATCAATTTTATAATTGTTATCTTTGGATACTGGGCCTTTGGCGTAAGCACAAATGCACTTTCTTTATACAGACTGCAAAGCAAATAGCTTGATTATTAACTTAGAGACTGTGGTATATAGTCAGCAGTCCCTTCCATAACTGCATACGCCAGGATTTAGGGGGACAGGAGGAGGCACAGGCTAAGTTAGTCAGTCTGGGAGCCAGGAGGACGAGAGAGAGAGAGAGAGAGAGAGAGAGAGTGAGAGTGTGTGTGTGTGTGTGTGTGTGTGTAAAGAACACATTTTGTATTCACTACAGTTGATTCCTCTCTCTTCTCTACCACCAGGAACATGATGGAAATTTCCCCTGAATTACAGCCACTCTTTTCATTTGTTTTTTTATTCAACCTTAATTCTCTTGAGCAAGGAGTCTCCATAGACTAGAGAAGAGACTATCCACAAAAGACAGGCTAACTGATACAGATAACACAGTGACTAATGATGACAATGGAGAAGGGAGAGGCTCTACACCAGACACTGGGCAGGGAGTACCATTGTGTCCCAAAGAAAGCAAATGTTTCACTTTGTTTGATCATGAATTCTTTGTTTGTTCCATTCCCCCCTCCCTTCTTTAGACATTGCTTTGTTTTATAGAGAGTAGATCACCTCAGTGCAGAGATTTGAGATGGAAAACTAGTCAAAAGAAAAGAGAAAGGGAGGGTTATGTAGGGCCTTGATCCTGTGGGGTACTGAACCCCTCCTGCAAGGTGAAGAACACTATAGACATTAATGGGAGCAGAGGACGGCTCAGTATCTCATGAGAGATGCTCAGCCTCTTTCAGGAGAGGGTCCTCATGCATAGAGAGCAGGAGACTTTCATTTCCAGAAGGGCTATAACTCCAAACCGAGCGGCAGGGTGATGTAGGCTTCTGGAACAGAAGCACAACCCAGTCAGTGCTATGCTTATGCTCTCAGCATTACTGCTTGCACATTGTGCTTGGCTGCCATAGCACTTGCTTGTCCTTTCCACATCTGGATGTTGTTGTTATGTCTCAAAAGAATGTGATTCTGCTTCCAAGTGGGGGAATGAGCAGTAACAACAACAGATGAGTCTATCAAGATCCTTAAAAGCTTGGTTTCATGCAAAATAGTCTTAGTTATAAAAACTTAGGGAGGAGAAAGAGAAACCACAGCTCTGAAGCCCTGATATTTTTATAATGGGTCTAGTTAAAACTCCATATCTGAACCCTCCCAAGCGTGGGGCTTTGAAATCTGGACCTGAATATTTCCAAAACACAGGGTGTTTGATTTTGGGAGGTTTCAAGCTACAAACATGGACCTGGATCTGGATGCAGGGTAGATGCCCATTGCTCTATAAAACAAAGGAACAGAATTGTTTAAAAACCAGTTGTTCTTCAGAATCCTCCATGAGGCATCAGTAGCTGCTCACTGTCATTTTATCTGCGTCTTTATTTAAGATGCTTCTGCTTAGTGCCTGCAGAATAGGGATTTGCTTGTAGAGAAGAGGGATTAGAGCCTTGCCTTTCCAACCCATAACAGAAAACGCCACACTTGCTTACAGCTGTAAGTCCCCTTACACTCAGGGGAGATACTTGCCTGAATAGGGACTACTCACACGAGTAACGGTCTGGAATTTCCCCACTATCCCATGGGTTATATAAAATCATTGGATAAATCCTGAGTGATATTGCTTTGTAACTAGAGTTTCCCCTTTCAGAAACACTCAGCAGCTGCTGACATAACTGAATCCCTGTCAGAAGACCAGGTCCCTGAAGCCTTCCTGGTGATGCTCCTGATTCAATTTGGCACCATGATAGTGGACCGGGCCATTTACTTGAGGAAGACTATGTTTGGGAAGTGTGTATTCCAGGTTGTCCTTGTCTTTGGCATTCACTTCTGGATGTTCTTCATCTTGCCAGGCGTTACCGAAAGGTACAACTGTGGCCAGTGTCACATGAAAATCTCTCTCTTTCTCTCATGAGCAGGACTTGCTTTCAATGGGAAAACAGACAGAAGCCGTGGTGGCTTTGAAATCTTAAATTTCTGCATGCTTTCAGCAGCAATTTAATTTGTGCTCTTAGAACTTATGTGCTCTTAGAACTTATGGGTGGGTTTGGAAATGGATAGATGGATAACTTAATTGCCTACTGCAGTCTTCACATTGAAAGTGCAGCATGCTTTGGGTAAAGAGAACAAAAGAGAATGCAATTATGTATGCAAAATGCTACTGCGTTGCATGCCTAGTATATTTGAGCAAATGGCCAGGTATGTGGTTCATATGCAAGCTCAGTTATGGGAACTGTGCATCTGACTCTTTGAAAATGAGATCTCAGGAAAAGGAGACATCTGCAGGCTTATGACGTATGGCAAGAAGGAAAAACCCTGGCAGAAATATTCTCCCAACTTTAGACATCTCCTACTTTGATGCTGCTCACTATTGGTCAGCACCCTCCTTTCGTGGATGGACATTTATTATTCAAGCTGCAAGGAAAAGAAGCTCCATTCAATAGGACCCATAGCCTCAAGTGACGACATATGGCCACTCACTTTGCATCTCATTTTCATTAGATTCCAATCCAGTCTGAGGAGGTGATAGTAACATGAAGGTCAAACTAGTGAGTGAGGAACTGTCACATTAAAAAAAAAGGACATTAAAGGACTTTGGTGACAAAAAATAGTGTAATGAAATCTGTTTTATTCACTTACAGGAGATTCAACAGAAACCATGTGGCTCAGCTTTGGTACTTGGTCAAATGTGTTTATTTTGGCCTGTCTGCGTATCAGATCAAATGTGGTTATCCGAATCGGGTCCTAGGCAACTTTCTGACAAAGAGTTACAATTTCGTAAACCTTTTCCTATTCCAAGGGTAAGCAGAGAGGGGATGTTCAGCTTTTATAATAGAGGCTAAAAACCATGGGCCAAGTCCTAGTCTCATTAAAGCCAATGATACAATCCTCACTCAATTCAGAGGGACCAGTATTTAGCTCTGTGACTGGTCTGGTGACTGTTCTTTTTTGGGGTATGTGTGATTTATGGCAAGTATATCAGAAATTAAGCTCAAGCCCTAAGTTTGCACTGTAGAGGAAAGGAGAGCAGGGTCTAAATGCCATAATTTGACTCTTGAGTACAACCCACACTTCTTGTTGCTGTAGCTTAGTGTTTCCCCTAGCCTGATTGCTACTTTTCTACATAATCGCTCAATAAACTTTTCAGACAAATCATCTCATTCCTGGCAGTCTCCCCTTAGCTAGATCCTCTCGGATTGCCTAGAATAGCTGCTTATTCCTCCAGCATGGGTCTCTGGAATGTACGTGCTGTGATCCAGTATCAAGAGGCAAGGAACTATTAGCAGAATTCAATGTAAATATTGTATAAATCACCCTGAAATAGCATGGTTGTGAGATGAGCCTAACTGAAAGTTAAATAGACTAAGTAAATATAGACTAAATATATTCCATGCCTGGAATTGCCACTGGAATGGATCCAGACAGGAAATATGTTGATACACAGTCTTGTGGCAGAGATATTAAAAAGCCATTGGCCAGTTTGGTCATATTTGGGATGAATTTTATGTACTCAATGCATTTTTAAATACATGCTGAGTTACATATTATTAACCTAAAAACCCTATGGAAAAAATACCCATTTCCCATATGGGCTAACATTGCATGGAACAATCTGTGGGTTTTGTATAAAGGAAGAGGCTCTGAAAGGAACTTTAAGGGAGAAATCTCTCTCCTGCATACTTGTGGCCTAGTTTTCAAGCATTGGCCTCCAGTGGGCCATGCACTGCAGTTTTGAGTGCTATTACCTGCCAACTCAGGGGATAGAAACAATGATTTGTGCACAAAGACACACACCCTCAAGATCAGTGGATGTTCCATGAATAAACTCCATCTCTTACATCTGCAGGTGAGAGAATCTATCAGTTGGGGGTAGAAACTATACTTCTCTGTACAGCATCCAGCACAGTGAGACCCCATTCTTGGGTAGTCTTTTGTACACTGGTGCTGACATCTGAGAAGGGTGCACACAGGTATTTGCACAGGAACAACAGGAGGCCAAGTCAAAGCCCCACTGGAAATTTGGCTTTTAAAAAAGATCTTCCAAATTTGAATAATTCCCTAGTGGGTGAATAGGTTTATAGGAACTGCCAGATGGGATCAGATGAATGATCCATCCAGTCCAGTACCCTGCCGATAGTGGCCAGTACCAGATGTCTCAGACTCCCATAATGGACAATTGTGGGATAATTTGCCCATAAGAGAAGTTTCTTCCTACCCCCAGGAGTTAGCATTTGGCTTCTGCCCTGAAGCATGAAGGTTTCTGTGATTTCTGAAATCCCTGGCCACTCTGTACAATCTCAGTACTATACAACTACACACTGGAAACTGTTTTTCAGGAGCTGATAAAGGAAAAGTCCGTCAAAATCAAGGAAGATTGTGCCAAAGAAAAAGATTTCAATAAGTGCCTGAAAATTATCTGCTAGGACTCCAGGCTCTGGTATTTAACAGATGTCACTCTAAAAGGTTAATAACATTCTTTCTTTCTTCAACTGGTAGGTTTCGTATGGTGCCTTTCCTTACCGAGCTGAGAGCTGTCATGGACTGGGTTTGGACTGACACCACACTGAGTCTTTCCAGCTGGATCTGTGTGGAGGATTTATATGCAAATATTTTCATTATGAAATGCCTGAGAGAGTCTGAGAAGGCAAGTGATTCCAGTTAGAGAATTTTATGAGACGGGATTGTACAACAGACGTTTGTGAGGCCAGTTTAGGCTGGGGGTTGGGGGGAAATAATGCACCCTTCAGAAAAAACTGGACTTGGGAAGATAGAGATTTATGTTTGAGCAGAACCTTCCCTTGTTCACTGTGCACCGCAATGCTGCAGATAAACGGAGATGTCCATAGCATTCTGACTGTATAGTTAAACAAGGCAGCCGTAATTACGCACTCAGCAATGTCTCAGGCATAGACCTGTTTTACTCAGAGTGGGGATTTTGGTGGGGACTCCAAGATTATGGGATCTTTTGCCTTTAGTCAAATAGACACTAGAGATGGGAGTTTGGTTTTCGCCTAGCAGTACATCACCATTCCAGTACCACTTCAGCATCAGCATTGGTCTGAGCCCACCTGCGGGATCTTCTATGTTATCAAAAGCTACTTTTGCACTTACAGAATAGTCACTGTGGGTGGCATCCTGGCCCCACTGAAGTCAGTGTCCAAGCTCCTTTTGACTTCAATGGAGCCAGGATTTCACTCTCTCTGTAAGATGAGGGGAAGAATTCCTTGCCCGCATCTAAAAAAGACTCTCCCTTAAAGGGGTTTCCAGCTATAGACAGTGCTTCCTTATTTATAAGTACAATTCATATCTCATGGTGGGAATGAGGGAATATATTAAAAGTCACACAAGTTAGAGCGGGAAAAGAACTATTCGGAGGTCTGCTCCACCCCTCTGGCCCATGCAGGACTGTTCCCTACAGTACATTTTGTAGGATTTTGTCCAGTCTAATTTTAGCTCCTCTAAGCAATGGGGCTTCCACCAGTTGTTTTGGAATCAAACCTGGGAGCCAGCTCCATCTCAGATTTGTCCTTGATATCTGAATGCTATGTTCTGCCACCAGCTGCTGCTGCTTTCTGTAGAGAGCAGCACCCTTTCAATGGAAGGAGCTGCGGGGACATCTCGTTTCTACCAAGACTTTAGGCTCCTGGCCCTTCTTCCTCTAGATGCTGCTTCCAACTTCCTAGCCCTGTAGCCTTTTTACAGCTTTGCCCCAGTCTATTTCACTAGTGCTGTTTCCTCAAAGAGCTACTCAGTCCTGAGAGGGAGCAATGGGCTACCGCTAAGAACATCATATAGACATTATACTGATAATTTCTACTGAATTATAAGTGTGTACAGGGCATTTCAACCCCAACCCTCACAAATAAAATAATGAGCATTTACAGCATCTTAAAAACGTTGTAATTTTTAAATAGTTCATTAAAAGTGAATAGATAAGTTAGAAGTGGAATAACTCACTTGAGGTTGTGTGTTTGCCAGTCAGTCTACACATGTCCTTGGGGGGTGGTGTGTGTGTGTGTGTGTGTGTTTGAGTAATCTGCCACTTAGTGTGCATGCAAAACAGTTGGGTTATTTTCCAAATGTTCTCATTATCTCATAGCCTCAAAATGGTCACCAAGTTCCTTTCTGCCTGGTTTCCCTGCCATGCTACAATTGCATCATGCTCAATTATATCTTTTTCTTTGCAGAAATATCCTCAGCCTTCTGGCCAGAAGAAAAAAATGATTGTGAAGTATGGAATAGGAGGCTGCATTGTCTTTATATTGGTCTGCATCGTGTGGTTCCCACTGCTTCTTATGTCACTGGTTAAATCTGTGGCAGGAGTAACCAATCAGCCCCTGGATGTCTCAGTGAAAATTACCATTAGCGGTTATGAGGTAAGGGTAGTATTCTTACAGGAGCGTGACTGACACTGACACACACACGTGAGCTAAGTGGATTTACACTAGGGTCAGGATCTTTTCACCTTATTGTTCACTGGTGTGCACATGGCCCATGCTGGGGCGATTGAAGGCTGCTGTCACCCGAAGGCTGCTCAGTGCCCTGTGTGAAATGGCAGTGGAAACAAAAGAAAAGGGAAAGGTATTAAGAAGAAAGAAAAGGGGAGGTGGCAAATTCTATTTGGTTTCATGCTCATACCAATGGTATGGATTTTCCCTGTATTGTGACAATGCCTGGAGGCACAGGGGTCCCAGGCTGCACTGAGAATGCCAAATCTGTGATTTGCCCTCTTTTTCTTGCCTAGTCATTATTCACCATGAGCGCTCAGCAGCGGAATCTGATCCCTTTCTCTCCAGCAGCATATAACGAGCTGGCTAATCAATATGCCCTTCACCCGGTAAGTGTCACTCGAACAGCTCGTTTCCTCAGAGAGCCCAGATTCCCTCCGGTCATCCCTCAGTGTTAGCGCTGCTCGGTTAGAGTTCTCCAGCAGGTGCCCGGAGCTTTGGTGGGCGGATCTTCCCTTTCCTGGGGTGAGCCCTTCATAAAACTGCAGTGATTTTTTTAGCCCAAGTCTTGTCTACAGAGGGATTTCAGCAGGGCTTAGAAGTCCTGGCACATGCTGGCAGGGTGACTCAGCAGAAACAAATCACAGATGTGGTCAGCAAAGGTCTTTCCTCAAGGGGGAATGTTTGCAACTTAAAGTCAAAGCAAAAAATAAACTCACCCAATATTTCCCCAGTCTAGAGCCTGACAGTCCCTAAAGTAACTCCTCTCCTCACTGCCTTAAATGGCCAATGTATAGCCCTTCCCCACAGCACCTGTGCAAGGGGGGAGGGAACGCTGAGCTGATATTAACCCCTTGCTCATCAAGAACCAGGTAGTGCCCCTGCACCCTGTCACACCTGGTTTAAATCTGGCTGCAGGTTAAACTGATTTCTAACCCTACTCTAGTGTACACCCCTGCTTCTATTAGGGTCAGTGGGCCAGATCCTCAGTCCAGTTATGGCCCCTGTGTTACACTCAGGAAGTGCAAAGGAGCCATACTTCAGCTCCAACTGCCCAGCAGGGGAATTTCCCTGCTGGAGGAGAGTCCCTATCAGCACATCAGGTCCTATCCTCCCAGCCAAGGGCAGAAGGGGGCATGGATGGGAGGGGGGAAGGTGAGGGGAGATGGCAAAGCTCTATTCCATTATGCCAGTCTTTCCTGGCAGCAGCTTTGTGAGGGCTGTTCCCTGGTGACCCCATTCCTGTCCCTCCTGGAGCTCTGGCCATGAGGCAGGATTGGGCCCAGCACTAGGTTTTTGAGCAGTGTCTCACACAGCCTGGCCCTGCTCTCAGCAGTTGAGCGACCTGAGTTAAACTCCGCAGTTTGGCCGCTGTTACGTTTAAGCCGTTTTAAATGTGTTGGTTCCCTGTTGCAAAGCCTGTGTAGATGAGGCCCTAACGAGAAGCCAACAGGTTCCTGTCTTAATGTTTTACCCCTTCTATCCCTTCCCAAGTCTGCCATGCAGTTTATAGTGAACTACAGCCCAGAGGACATCGTCACTGCTAAAATAAAGAGCAATGCTAGCTTGCTGTGGAGCATCAGTCCCGCCAGCCGAGAGGCCATGATGGACGAGCTCTCCAGCTCAACTGCGGTCTACATCAACTTTCACTGGACAATTCTCAGGTAAATGCAGCATCGTGGTTAACACTGCAATCGATTAAAAAGGACGCAGCTCAAGTTCTGTATTTATTTTAAAAGCACTTTTCTGAGGAGTTACACGTCAGTTTTAACTACATCAATTAATGAATTATGTAGCGGTTACACTCATTAATTCAGACATCACTATGGTTAGCCTGCTGGGTGCTGAGATCACTGCCAGTCATGCTGACCAATGCTGTCGCATTGTTTCCTGAGCTTCCCCTGCCTTATACAGAGTGTGAGCTCTTTGGGGCAGGGACCATCTTTGTGTTCTGTGTTTGTACAGCACCTAGCACAAAGGGGTCCTGGTCCATGACGGGGCTCCTAGGAGCTACCACAATACAAATACATAATAATAATAATTAGTTAATTAATGGCTTCCATTCAGGGATCTCAAAGCCCATTACAAACATTCATTCATGACTTGAACCTCACACCTACCTCCACCGAGAGGCTGGTGTAATTATCCTCTGCAGCACTTTGTGTTGCAGCTTCACCTCCAACATGTCTCCTTCCAAAGGGCTTGCAAAGGACCCTCATAAGACAGCCCACAGCTGTCTTATAGAGTGCCTGCACCAGAGGAATTCTTTCCTCACCAGTTAAGTGTCTTTTACAGCCCCTGTACACAGCAGCGCATCTGGCCCACAGCGGGAAGAAGAATCCCTCCCAGTAAGTCTTATCTTGAACTGCATTTGTGCACCACAGCTGAATATACCTCGCTTGATTTCCTTTGGGCAGGAATGCTTCTCTGGTGAACAATGTGGAAGCGTCTGGCAAGCACACAGTGCGGTACGAAGAGAAGGAGATAAGAGAACAAATTGTTCAAATGCTAAATGGGACCAGGAAAGAGCCAATGTCAGTATTTTTCTTCTGTTCGAGCCGTGTTTTCAAACTGCGCCATGGCAAAGAATTGTTGTTGGTGAACACAGTAGAGGGGATTGTTCACATGTTAAATGGGAGGGTCATTCCTTTTACAAACATTAGAACCACGCTGTGTTAGGACTTCTTCCTGTTTGATGACAAGGAAGGGCAGGGGTGTTATAGTCACTCCTAGAAGTATTTTAGCTCCCATTTATGGTCATCCTTTTCTAAAATACGTTGCATATCAACACTGGTGTCTATACAGCCCTAGAGACTGAAGCCCTGGATTCCACAAAGCAGTTACAACCCAGGCAGCAGCTGCCCTGCATACATGCCTGGAGGGATCATCTCTGTGGTTTTGGGTTGGTTGGTTTCCAGAGCCCAGTCGACCCCGGGACTCTTTCCTGAGGCTGCCAAAAATGGGCAACTAATGAGGACGACTGGAAGGATGATCTGGTTGTTAGGGTGCTAGCCTAGAACTCCAGAGATCTAGGTTCAATTCCTGACTTTGCCACAGACTTCCTGCAGGACCTTGGGCAGGTCACTCAGATGTAGATGCACAAAGTTATTTAGACACCTAACTCCTGTTGATTGCAATAGGGGGTTAGGCATCTAAATACCTTTGAGGGTCTAGGCCTCATTTTCCCATCTGTATAATCGGGATAATGTCACTGCCCTACCTCTCAAGGGCCTTGTGAGATTAAATATGTTAATAATTTGAGGTGCTCACATACTATAGCAATGGGGGGGGGGGGCAATACAGGTACCTTAGCTAGTTTCTCTGATATGCTCCTTGAGAGCTAGATAGGCTCTATCTGTTAACAGATATGGGTGGGAGTTGCAAAGTTCAGATTCACTCTGGGGGGTTGGTCCAAGCACATTTCTAAGTGGTAACGATCCAGAAGATTAATGCATAGCACTGAAGTATTTGATAACTCCAAGGCAATTTTGGCTTCCACTTGTTTCTAGACTGCTTCCCGGCGTGGTACCAAGATACCTCAGGGCTACTGCTGGAGCAGAAGCTAGAACTGCACATCGCTTGCAAGTTGGTAAGCAATTGCAATAAAGGTTTTGGTCTCAGGGTTCCTTGGTGGAAACCGAAGTGGTACCCACTGTGGGCTAAGAGGGGAAATATTGTGAGCCTCACACACATTTCCAAGGATCTCAAAGATTCTGCACCAAACAACTGGCTGAAATGGAAATATTCCCCCCAGGAACAAATTCTCATAAATTTGTGAGCACATCAGTTTTTACATGTGCAAAGCAGATCCACTGCACTGCTCTGAAGAGGAGTACTTGGAGAAGGAAATAGCATGCAGGGAAGGGAAGCATAGTACTGAAAGGTATCAGACATGTAGGGAAAAAGCTCCTAACTTTATCTTTGCATTTGGGAACCAGCTCATTCTCAGAAACCACAAGACGTAGACAAAATGGCTTTCTTCCGAAATATAACCATAAAACTACAGCAGCTGGCCCTCAACTCATCTTCCGGCCAAGTTACTGAGTGGTGGGTTATTGAAGAGTGGAATCCTGTGTGCTCTGGTAATGCTTGCAGCAAGAATATGGAGCTTATCATCTACAATGACAAAGTCAGCCCTTCCAGTCTGGGATTCCTGGCAGGCTACGGGTAAGGATGGCATGCTACGCTACAAAAAATACTCCCCATTGCTCTTCCTAGATGGGGGAATACTTTATTCGGGTTTATTAGGTAGTTAATTAGTCTTGGCATTTTCCTACACAACCAGGCAGAAAATAGGTCTATTCTGCCTGCTTGTGTATTGTATTTGACAGGTTGGTTCTTTCATAATTTTTCAATATTTTGTATTTGGTTTCTATCCTTCCTTGGTCAGATATGGCTCCAAAGCTGGGCCTGTCAAACCTGACTCAGGCACTGGACTGAAAGATCGGCCCCCAGCTGGGTTATTAGCAACTGAAATGGAAGTGTACGGTTATCACCCACCAGATTTGACCTTTGATTACTCCTCTTTGACCCTGCTGTAGTCAATGAAGTTGCACAAGCGTAACTGAGTGCAGAATTTAGCCTGCTGTGCACAAAACTGCCTGCAGGCTAACGTTTGATCCAAGTCAGTCCAAGTGTTGCAAAGTGCTCCAGCTTTCAAAATTAGCGGTGATTCTGAGGGAAAATAGTCACATAAAGCAATTCCATTTCCGTGTCCCCCACAGTAGATTTTATGCACCACCTAGCAATTTACTGAAGTCCTAGGTCTGTGTTCCGAAAGGGCTTGAAGGCACCGGGTGCTTTATTCTCCTTCAAAATCATGAACAAATTCTTGGGGTTTTGCCAGTGAGGAGTCCTTATGTCCCTTTTTAGTTTTATCTAAAAATCACACGCCTTTCAGTAAAACCAAATGTGAAAACAAAGGAGGAAAAAAAGTCCCCTTCCCAGTGCACTAGGCTGGGAGCTACTTTGGACCCAGTTTCCAATCCCTGGGTTAGGAGATTATCAGACTAGAAATAAAAGCAGAAATGTAATAGTGAAGGTAATTAGCCATCGGCACACCTTAGTTAAGGAGGTGGTGATTTAAAGAATTCATGTGATGGAAAATCCAAGATTGGATTTCTTTCTAAGAAGACATGCTGAAGCTCAACCACAAGTTAGGGTTTAAGGCCGACAGCACCAGAGGAGGTAATTCTATGGCCTGTGTTATGCAGGAGATCAGAATAACTGATCACAATGGTCTCTCCTTCTGGCCTATTAATCTACCTTAATCTGCACCGGTAGTCTCACTGAAATCAGTGGAAGCCTGTATAACTATTCAAGGTAAGGATGGTAAAGTTGGGCCCCTTGGGAAAAGCTAAATTGCACATTAATGAATGGATACCTGAATAGCTTATTATAGACATTTATGCACAACTCCCATAGAGTGGGCGGATAGCATGACCATATTACAGAACAGATATGGTGCCTTGTTTCGCCCAGTTCTGATCAACTCTGTACTCCCTTTTCCTCAGCATCGTTGGCCTTTATATGTCTGTTGTTCTCGTCATTGGCAAGTTTATCCGAGAGTTCTTCAATGGCATCTCTCGTTCAATAATGTTTGAAGAGCTGCCCAACGTGGACCGCATCCTGAAACTCTGCACGGACATCTTCCTGGTGAGGGAGATTGGGGAGCTGGAGTTGGAGGAACAACTCTTTGCCAAACTCATCTTTTTGTACAGATCTCCTGAAACTATGATCATGTGGACCAGAGAATCAAAGGAACAATGACAGGACAAAGGTTTGTTTAGTGAAGATCAGGCTTAGGAAGCAAGCTATTGTCATGGGCTGCTTTAGAAGCAAATTTAACATTCAGGAATGGGAGATGTTACGAGCGTCTCCTCTCCATTGGCATATTTTCACCTTAAGCTTTTCCACACGTTCCTCACCAAAATGTATCATGTTTAAGCAGTAAGTGTACTTTTCAGGCCAGTGACTTCCCTTTGCTCAACCAGAGAAGACCTACTATTGATCCCCTACAGACTTCATCCCACAATCATGGATGCAAAAAGCTCGGCCCAAGTCCACCTGATTTTATCTGCAAAGCAGCTAAAAACTTCCTCACAGCAGGAGGGGTTCTAATCAGCCTCCGAGCAACTGCAGCATGGGCTAACCAAACTGAGCGCTGTTAATGGCTGAAGATAAATTATAGGGAGGAAATTTTAATAGGGCTAATTTACAAGAGTCCAGGTTCAAATGTAAGATTTTAAAGCAACGCTTAAAGGGGTGCTCTGACATGGGTGATGAGGTTTCCAGTGCTCATTGGACAAAATGCACTGACTCAAGGTGTGCAAACATTCCAGTTTAGAAAATAAAAACAAACCGTTCAAAGACAAAATAAAAGAACAGAATGGGGCACTTTCATAATCAGAGCAAGATCTCTCTAGCTAGGCCTAAGGTCCCTTTAATTCTTAAGAGGTCTCCACCACAGCCTTTACCCAACTAATATTCTACTTTATAGTTTGGAGAAGTTTCCCATCTTGCTCTGCTTTTAAGTGGGTACTTATTCCTTCCAAGTGAGAGTTCAGCCACTTTTTCCTCGCTGCAGAATCACTGAAAAATGGGTTGGAAGCAGAGAACAGGCGTATTGGGCAGTGTTTTATTAGGTTAAAATAGAGGGGTTACCTGAATGGCATCCAGGATGGTACCCCAGCATAGGGACAAGGGGATGAGTAGGGCATTTCTTTTACAAATAAATGTCTGAGGAGGCAGCATGGATCCAGTGGAGTGAGCACCAGGAGCCCCACGATTTCTATTTCCCGTTCCGCCAGGCTGTGAAACTCTGGGAAAGTCACTTCCCCCCTTAGCGCCTGGTTCCCGTCCCATCCTGTCTGTTTAGACTAGAAGCTCCTCAGAACAGGGTCTGTCTCTCACTCTGTGTGCGCACAGCACGGGCCCTTCATCTCTGTTCAGTGAATTGAGTGAGAGAATTTGGTATTCTCATTCTAGCCATTAGTGGAAGCTCCTATGCACTGCAAAGCCGCCTAGTCATTCAGCACAAGTGGCAGCAGCTCCTTGGAGGAAAAAGGTGCTGTGAGTCTGATCTGAAGTGCAGCAGTGGAGCTAGGCGTGAGAACTTGCACAGCGCAGTCCAGTCAGACTCTCATTTTAGGAGCACCCAGTATTTTCAGAAATGCAAATAATGCCGTGAAGTTCCATGATGGGATATACAAATGGCTTTAATAACCTCAGCCCATGCATGTGCCAAGTAGACAGAAGCAAGCAGCTACTTTGTTTTATAAACCAAGTTTATTCATAGTCCCACTATTTCTTCTTTTCTTTCCAAGTGAATATGTTCTGTTATCTGAAACAGTAAGTGTTTTGGCCCACTCTTTTGTTGATTGTAATGGTCAGCGAAAGCTTAGCATGCAGGTACTGCACCTTACTAAAATAAAAAGCCTTTTCCCATTAGACCTTCTTTGCTGCTAGGCTGAATTGCCATGGAATAAGCTGAGCCTACAGTGGTTTCTTCTTCCTCACATAACTCTGTTGTGAGAAGTAGTGGGGGCTGTGAGAATCAATAAAACCTCATGGAAAGTAACAAAGTAAATCAGAAGGCCTGGTAAGCAAGAGCGGCTGTGGCTTATTCATGCATTAATGCACTCAGCAAGTTTTGTGAGGTGCTTTAAGGGGGACATTTCCCTCCCTCCACTAAAGCTAGTAGAGCTCGGAGCTTGCAAGGTCAATGTTGTTCAGCAACTGTGGGCACCAATAATTTAAAAAACAAAAGACTAGGCCGTTTCATCAGAAATAAGCAATCAATCTCATCATGACAAGAAAAAAAAAAAAAAGGACAGTTTCCCATGTATGGTATCTTTGCTTCAGAACAGATCGGTGCAAAGTGAGGTAATATAGGCGCCCCGTTGGTAAGGGCTGGGGAACATTAAACAAGGCGCCGCCTTTTAGAATCTCTCTCCATCTCCTCATCTGGAGAGTCTCCATTGCATCCCAGAGGGGACACCATGTTCAGCAGAGGATCTTCAGATGCACGGCCAAACAGGGACAGCAACAAAGCCACTCCATAACCAGTTGCTCGTTCGCCCTAGAAAGAAATGGTTACACTTCAGATTTTAATATCACTTGGGTGTTGCACTCATCCTCACTCTTTTCCAAGCAGGATGTAAGTGGCACATCCAGGCAGAGAGCTGACCCGTGAGTCTGCGCACGTTCTTGGGGTGGCATTTTCCAAAGTGCCTGTGGGAATGAGATGTCCAACTCCCTGAGCTGCTTTGGAAAATCCCACCTTTTATGCCGCCCTTGGCAGAAGAACTCTGAAGAAGCTGGCAGCGTGCTCACAGGCAGGCATTTCTGACGGATCCTGCTGAAAAAAGTGCTAAATAAGCAGGCACCACACACAAAGGAGAAAAATGGAGAATCCTAATAATACTTTAAGATATGCAGATGTCTAAAAACATGCACACTACTAATGCAGAAATCCCAGTCTGCTCTGTAATGATACAAATAAACACAGCACAACATCCTTTACAATGATCTTTACCATCAAAGCAAGAACGTATTCTATGAAACTGATCTACAGATGAGTTGGAAGTAGTACATGGTTGCTCTGTAAGAGAGGCCTCCTCTCTTTCTCTGGAACTGTACTCTTGGGTTAAGTTACGGCTGATATTGGTGAGTGGGTGAAGTTTGCACTTTACTGTAGTTTAGTAGGAGGCAGAGTGCAGTTGATTTGCAACAGAGACAGACTGACAATTACTGTGTTATATTTATCCTAACCCCTCACAGCAGAGAATCCACAATTCAATACCAGAGAGGAAAATCCAGATGCACAATTTTTTTTTTTAAAAGCAAAGCAGCTAGCTGGTTAGCAAGAAAAGAATGAGCATGCAAATATCTGCTGAGGCACTGGGGGAGCAGATAGAGCCCCACAGAAATTTGACAGGCAGCCCAGACAAGCCAATTGGGAAGAGACACAACAAAGCAAACGCTGTACAACCACCATGAAAGGATATTGGGCTAAATCACTTATCCCCATGGCACATTTTATGTACTCATTTCTTAAATCTGTAGAAGGCTCTTAGTTGGGTTAAGAATGCACATGTTGCTGCAAATCAGAAATTAGACTAAGTAACATTTAGAGATTTTTTTAAAAATAAAAAACCCAAATAATTTACCGGAAGAAAGCAGGTATCTTTCTAAAATCTAGATCTCTTTGTACAGTCATTACTTCCTACAAGAAAGCTTTCCTGTCTAATTCCCCCACCCCACATCAGAGAGCTCTGCAAAAGCAGCAAGCAGGAAAGGTGACAATTCACACAACAAACGAACACACTCACCGCATGGACAGGTGCTGCAATGTCTATATGGACCCAGACTCCAGACCAATCGAAACCGATGTGAGAAGCAATAAAGAGCCCAGCACAGGAGCTCGGAGTATTGTCTCTGTCCTGGAGAAACAGTAAAAAGTTTGGTTTTGTGAGATAATTGGTCTTTAAAATATTGTTTGTCTAAAAATAACTCGTAACAATTTCTTTACATTACCCAGCATTTTAGAAGAGGGGTTCTCAACCTTTTTCTTTCTGAGGCCCCCCAACATGCTATAAAAATTCCACAGCCCACCTGTGCCACAACAACTGTTTTTCTGCATATAAAAGCCAGGGCCAACGTCAGGGGGTAGCAAGCAGGGAAATTGCTTGGGGCCCGTTGCCACAGGGGGCCCTGTGAAGCTAAGTTGCTCAGGCTTCGACTTCAGCTCCGGGTGGCAGGGCTTGGAGCCAGCCCCAGGTGGTGGGGCTTCGGCTTTCTATCCTGGGTCCCAGCAAGTCTAATGCCGATCCTGCTTGGGGGGTCCCCTGAAACCTGCTCACGGCCCCCCTCTGGGCCCTGGACTCCTGGTTGAGAACCACTGTTTTAGAAGACAATGTACAAATCCACCTCTCATAAGGCCAGCAAGTTCTCGGGTATGCAAGAGTGAGCTAATGCCTGCTGCTCCTCTTTGGAGTTACCTCCCCACTCAGCTGTGTTTTCTCCTTACCTCCGTTCCTGGTACTAAACAGAACCATTGTACTTTTACTGGGACAGAAGGGGTGGGTTACACAGCCATGATGCATGTGGCAGTTAAGACAATGCAGAATCCTCCATCACACCAATTCCAACCCCACTTATTTAGCTTAGATATACCAAGGTCAACAGCTGAAGTCACCACAACCTGACCTGAGGCCAGGCCTGGCTCCCTTTGTCAAAAACAGAGCTGTTTGCAAGTGTCAATGGCAGGCAGGTTTCTAAAAGCTTTTATCAACTACCCATATATCATCTTTGTATCTTCTAGCCCCTCCTCCAACTGGTGCATTATGCAGAACATGCACAGGGAGTCTGGCCTGAACAATTCTGATTAAATAAGGGAATTAAAAAAAAAAACAAAAAACCTACTGCCACAGAGTTCTTCATATCGGCTACAGCAGAGGTAAATTCACTAAAATGGAGCTCAGGACAATACACAAGAGGATGGACCAGGTCTCCGCAGTTCCTGCCAGCTATAACACAGGCCTTCTCCCAATCTTCATTGTTGGTGAGGACAGCAGCATGGTATTTCCCTGTGGCAATTCCCTAGTGAGGGATAAGACACAACCAGGTAGGATTAATATGGGTTTAGTCCCAAACGCTTTAGCAGATGTGCTGGATAGAACAATTTTCTTCTCCCTACTTGGCGCTAGCAGTTGCCTGCCCTGCAACATGGCTATCAATGACATGCCCACTGAGAAAACATATCTGAAAACTAAAGAAAAAGACTGAGGTGTTATAAATAAACAGAGGGGTTCTGGGCATCATCAAAACATTTTACATTTCTGAAAAGAAACCCATTTCACAGTGAAATAGTCCACCTTCATCTGGGCTAACACATCGGCAGACACACAAAGATCTCCCTGGGGTATCATAGCCAACAAACTATATGGCTGTATGACTACACGCCCATGTTTGTTGGTCCAGCAATGAATTATAAATAAGATAGCTCACATGCACAGACAACCCACCTAGCATTTTGTGTCAACCACAGATAACATGGACATTGTGAACGCAGGACCCTTCATTGGAAAGGTCATTTCACCCTAGATCTGCAGTTAGGTCTTGGATTCGACCTGAGACCTAGAAGCCATATGTTGTTAGAGTTTTCCAAACAGGTACCATAGGGCAGACATAAGGCAGGTTTTCAAAAGGACACAGTTACACCGGCATGCACAATCTCTGATGTATACAAAAAGCATGCTTCCAGGAACTACCCAATTTTTAAATGAAGACTAATTCTAACCCCAGACATCCAGGCCAGATCTCATCACAGGAACTACTGCCTGTCCACACCATCTTCTATAAAAATGTTATAGTGGTTTGCAAAAGTGGTATTTCAATGTCAGTTTTTACTTTTTTGCTAATATTATATACTGTGTGTAACATACGCCCTACATTATATAACATACCTTGTAAATCAAGCCTTTGCTAAATAATTAACTGCAGACGCCAGGCCAGATACTCAGCTGGTGGAAATCAGCATAGCTCCACTAACTTCAAAGGAACTAGTGTGATTTACATCAGTTGAAGGTCTGGCCCATTAATCTCAATCTTGTATAGAACTTCCAGCTCTTGCAGCTGCTAAACAATATCCAGCTATAGTTACATCATCAGATAAAAATGTACTAGGCCAAGCACAAGTTCTCTTACCCGTCCTTGTGGTGATGATAAAGCCTAACAACATTTCACTCCTTCATACAACACATGTCTTGTGCCTAAGCAAAGGGGATGAGTCAAATTTACTAGGCTGAATTTAGAAACACCCATGTGTTCACCATTATTGATGGTTATTACCTCCAGCTTAGTAAACCCCGCAGGGACTTCAATGGGAACAGGATCAGACCATGGAAACTGAAAACAGCATCTTAAACACTGGTTCAAGTTCTCTCAAGGAGAAATTGATAAAACTGTCAACTTCTGAATAAAACTGGAGCATTTACATGAGTTTCATTTTGTCTCTGAATAAATTCAATTTTTTACTCAATTACGTATGAGATATAAAAGCTCATAAGGTACACAAACCATGTCTGACTAATGTAGTTATAAATATAACACGCTGGCAAAGTGTGTTGTATTCCCCTCTGTTGGCTGGTCCATGTAGAGGATAACAGCCTATTACTGCTGCTAGCTAACAGAGTTACTTTTCCAGCTCAAGTTGTAGAGACCTGTGGTTTGTAGCCTAAAGTGCAGCATGCTGTCGCCACGGACAACCTACAGTGGTGGCACGGGGCCGTTATAATAAAAAGCTGTCCTCCAGCAACCCAGAGACTTTGCAAACAAGTACCTGAGCTCCGGTGAGAGTGGCCATGTCAAGAATGATATCAGCGCCGAGATCCTTGCATGCGTACGCTACTCCATCAGCCAACACCAGCCTGCCCTCTGCATCAGTATTGTTGATCTCCACAGTTCTAGGAAGAAGACGTTATTTAATGCAACAACGTTTCAGGTTGGGAATTACATATGCAAAGAGATCCTGCTATGCAGCTCTAAGATCCAACACTGCTGCAAAGCGAAAAATATAAAGAAAATGCATTTACTTCTTATTTGAAGCAAGAGACCCTTTCCTTTAAAGTTCCAAAACAGAGCGTACCTGAGCGTCTAGTGCTGGCTTTATCATAGATCCTACAGTCTGCAGGGCAGGGACCAGCTTTTTATTGGGTTTTTACAGTCTCTCGCACAATGGGGCTGGGATTTTTAGGAACTACTGCAATATAAATAAGAATATATACGAATAGCAACAGCTACCTATCTTCA